ATTTAAGCCTGACTGGTTTTAGTTATTAAAAAAAAAATCGATAATTTATATTAATTTTAAACATTCCATTTTATGAATTACTTATGTTGTTAATTTTTTTGCTTCTTAATTAGTGTAATGCACGTGTGATGTTATTATATTTCGATTACTTTATATGGATTAAATATCATAGATTTTATTTTGTTTTGCTTCTTTATTAGTTGCACATATTGTACTTTTCTACTTAGAAATTTCTCGTAGAATGAGGAAGTATTTCAAGAAAGAAAAAGAAAGCACTAAAAATCACCTCACTAGATGGCGACTCTAGCAAAAGTTGATTTTTGCAGGAAACGAATGGACCAAAGATAATAATCATTTCCGTTCCTTTTAACTAACATATTTAAGAAAGAAATTTGCAATGTTCGAAACTGAGATATCAATACAAATAGAATATGAGTTGTTTATTGCGTTTTGAAAATTAATTTACTTTTATACATGAAAGAAAACGGAAGGGTTGTCTCGGAGATATCAAAAGAGTACCGTAGCGACATCTAGTTTGATTTCCGGAACTAATGGTTTTATTTAAATACTTCCTCGATGAATAAGCTAAAATATTTCAAGAGAGACTTATATAAACGTAAAGGTTATAATAAAACTGTATTTAACTTTCTTTAATATCCATACGTAGACAATGCGAAATATCGTATAAATTTGTACTTAATGCCATAAGTGTAAGGTCGAAAATAAATATAAAAATGTTTTTTGAAAACGTACATACATAAGCGGCATTTCAATAATTCGTTATAAAACCAAGTGGGTTTAGAATTTAAGCTGTTAAGTATTATTATTTGCTTGTTATTGTGATTGTGGATAATAATTGTGATCTGATTACGTACATGTAAATATTTATTCAAATATATTTATTGGAAGCATCTTTTAGTATTTTTATTTTTGAGCACCTATGCATGTTTCCTTTTTTTATATTAAAGCACTTTTTAAATTATTATATAAACTATCTTACAAAGTATTATACCATGAAATTTGCTACTACCACAGATATTGTTGCTCCTTTTATAAACAACAATGGTTAAGGAACTCAACCAACTGATTTTAAACCTGATTCTGAGTAACATTAAGGTCAAAATCGTTAGCAGTCATTTTCATTTTGTAGCAACCAGACCACGTAGCACGACACTTGAACATCAAATGACACTGTTCTGCATCAAATGGCTGAAATTGAGTCTCATTGGGTTAGCTATTATAATCACTATGCTTAACCACTCATGTGCGCCATTGAAGAATACATGTATAATGCAATTTTTGTGGTATTTACTTAAAGACTAACATACTTTTATTAATCCATTTTTTGGCACATTTCTATGAGGCAATCAGCTAGTATTGTATAAACCATAATAATTGTAATTAATTTAATATTACCCATACAAATTTGACATTCATTAGAGCTTAAAGACGTCATTAGACCTTAATGGACGTTTGTGATAACTAACCGAATGTTGTTAAGAATTTGTTTAATGCATAAATTATTTCAAAATTGAAAAGAGAATATACTTCAATGGGCAATCTCCTTCAAAGTAAACGGTATTAATTATATACTTTCACATTCGATGGGTTCGTTGTACCATAAACATGAACTCCGATAGGGTAATGCCACACAATAACAGAAAAAAATATATTTAAATTTGAAATAACAATTTAAATAACATTTACACGTATCGACTCGTACCTCTCTTCTAGACGAAGTTCAGATAAAGGAGCTCTAACTTGAATTAAATGGCGGTCGTATTAACTTAGATTAGTTGCCGCTGCCGTGTTAATTTCGTGTACGCAGCGTCAAGAACGCGATGTTCCCAGGTCGCAAGAGTATCACACGTCGCCGATGGGAGTACGGGCACGGCGAGTTCAAGTTGCGTCGTCTACTCGACAGGCGGCGCTTCACTCGCGTGCACTCCGAAGACTCGGACGACGAACCGGCGCCGATGCTGCCTCACCCACCCGCCACCGCGTGATGCCAACACTTATGAACAGATATAATACTTCTACATTCACAAAACTATTCACCATAATAATAAGTCGTAAAGAAAAACTAACTAATTTGAACTGAAACATTTTGTTGTTACGGCATTCGTGATCAGCAGTGGTCGGAATTAGGTAGAGTTATTCATGTACTTACACTGATTTCATACAGCGAAAGAATAAAGTAGATATGCCTCAAATCCCGAGATTAATTTTAAAGAGCAGAAAAAATCCCGTGATTTTTTAAATAAAAAGTTATTTACTTTTACACAATTTAAACTACTGCTGCACGCACGACGTTGCCAAACTTACATCAATGACATCGGATGTCCAAAGATGTCCAAGATTGTCCATTAGAAATCCCGGGAAGGTCCACATTAATATCAACATTTCGATGCAAGTACATAAATAACTCTACCTAATTTCGACCTCTGGTGATCAGTAATTAAATTATCTTACAAGGTAGTACTGCCTAAGATGACCCAGTGTTTTTAAAAACTCGATCCTTCGTACTAGTCATATTAACTGTCGGTCTACTGACCGCAGAACTTCAATTCACCGTATTAATAACTAGATGTGCCCGCGACTTCGTTCGCGTGGAAGGTAGCCTAAATTACCCCTTATTTCACTAAATAGATATAACAGAGACTTCAATTTTATTAAATTGTATAGATTTGTTGGGGCTACGAAAACAGTGGATCTTCTGAGACGTCTACCTAAATCTCTAATACGACAGCAAGTTGTAAATAACTTTTACGTTCGTATTTTTGTATTTCTATTTTTATCATCATCAGTCAAACGATGTTCCCAAAGCTGGGATACAAGCCTCCTGTGTGTGTCAAGCTAGCAGCTCTGCTCTTTTCGATTTTGGAATGAATTCTTGATCATTCAGTCCCTTATTCAACAGTCCATTACGAAATAGTGGCAAATAGCCAAGATACATCGTCATTTAATCCCTTTATCAGTCTGGGACGTAGCGGCGGTAAATGATTAAAGTAAATACGAGAGAATCTAGGAATAATGTCGCGCTGCTGGGCTGACGTCAATTTGGTAGCGCCACTCGATTTTATTTCTTAAATGACCAGCGCGTACCATAGCTTTAGATACCAGTGAGAAATGGCGGATGCTTGAGATTAAGACTTAACCTGCCCTCCGAAGCAAGTGTTTTGGTCACACCTTAGATATTGCGCCATTATACGCTATTATTTACTCAAGTCAGCCTCGAATTCGACGTCTGGCACAACGCTTTCACAAAATAAGGTTCAAAGGTTCAATTAAATAAAATATTTATTACCTTTTGAAGTAAGTTTTATTTAATATTTACGTTGTGTCACACATTGTGCGCTACTCTCGACGTCAGGCTTAACGCTGATTTCAGAATAGTTCTGCTGATGCATTTTTAATCGGCCGCTGTATGTACTTTAATTAAAAATAATCCATTGTGCAATCAACAGCACGTCAGGTTATACAAAACTGTCACATTCCTTCACTAGATTTTAAATCTTAATACATCGAAGGTAGAGTTCAAATTCAATTGTGGATATTTGATACGTTGTGGTAACCGTGGACAAGAATCCGTGTGTACTAAAACTGGACAACGCTTTTATAATATTATTTGTACACACAGCTGCACGTCAGATTACCACAATAAGTCAAATTTTCGTTATTGATTTTGTACTCTATTCTCGATAAATTAAGATTTAAAATAATGTGAATACATTTGACAGATTTGTATACCCTGACGCGCTGGTGACTGTTCATCGATATAAATTTAGCAAGTTCAAAGCTGTGAAGACACTTATTTAGCTTTGTGGCAGACAGACAAACAGAGGAGGGTAGTTATATAGTTCCGGTTTGAGAATGATATTCAAAATACAGAAATTTCGTAACGGAACCGGAAATGGATCATTTGCTTTCCGGTTCAATTGTGTTTTAACCTTAGAGTATTCTAAGGTTTTAATAAACGACGGCCTAAATAAAAATATGTCTATGCATCTCCAGTTATATCTAGTCAATCTATATATCATTAATGTAAATAAGAGCTAGTTGTAAATAAATGTTGATTAAAAATCGATGACTACAACCAGATATCGAACCCTTTAAATGCCGAGACCGCGTCATTGATTTGAGTTTTTATTTAAATTTGTCAATGCTTATTATCTATAAATAAATGTTTGTAAAGCTTTTATTGTTTATATGACAAAATATATTTCATGCGTTTATGTGTATATTATTCTTGGTGTTGTGGGGAATGCATTAAGGGTCATTAACCGACAAAAATAACATAAAGATATCAAAATTAAAGTAATTTCTTTTCATTGCGAGTCGGTTAATGTAAATAATTGATAAAATTCTTTGCAACTTCCATTTTTAAAGTAAAATATCAATTTTAATCTATTTGTGGGTTGGTACATTTTACAACACACAATATCTTTAAGTAGGTATTAAAATTTGAACGTAATTTTTATTATAAATAATATGTAAAGGAAAAAATTGTAGTCACTGCACATTTTTTCTATTTTTTTATTTTATTTTTCGCATCATCGGATAGAAGTTGAAAAGATGTCTATGTTACACATATTCTATTTAAATTATGCGCCTCGGTATATTTCGTGTTTACGAATTTAACCGATCAAGAAACCAATGTGTGATCGTCGTTTTAGCTGCCAAAACTCGTCAGTACCTCGACTGTGATGGAAGTGACAGCACGCAATATTTCAGTATTAAGAATTGTATAGAGCTGTAATACGCCAAATTACCTTATTTGAATATAGGTACTAAAACATTGGTTCCAGCAGCGACAGTAATGATTCTGAGTCTGAAATGTCGGGTATAGAAGTCATATCAAATTGTGATTAATTGATAAATTTATATTAATTGATGAATTTTGATTTATTAAAAACAAACTGTTCTACTTACTGGTGTCAGAAACTTATTTAGTTAGTACAACTGATTTATCTTAATTCGAATTTCTTTAATCTGGGTTTTTCATTTTGGTATCACCTGATGGCAAGAAACACAGTATACCTACTTTTAAATTGACTGACCTAATCTAAATTTAAGCGAAATGATTAATTATGTAATAACAACTCTATATAGATATCTTTAAACTACATTAGGATTGCCGAAGCTTGACGAATATAGCCGAAGCGCATAATTTAAATAGTAATATTAGGAAATAACATGTGCATTGATGACAATTTCTCCAATATAAACAAAAAGTGAGAAATATTATTATTTAATTTATAAAAAAATATAGTTATTGAATGTGAATAAATCAGTGAGCTGTGTATTGCATATTTAAATAGTATTTAAAGTCCTTTATTAAATCGTAAGAATATATGCTGAAAATATATTTATACTTTATACATGTAATAAATAGGTGTCAGGATTGAGCTCACTACAATAGCCAATAGTTTAATTTTAAGTAATGCCAAATATGTATATTCAGAAATGTGATAGAAATAAGTAAATCAGAAATGTAATCCAATTATTTATTTGTTATAATATCATTGTTTTCTGGCTATCATAACATGATTTCTTGGAGATATTTTGGGGTCAAACACCGGCCGAATCTCGCACGATATACCTGTAATCATAATTCATTCATTCAGTCCAACGCAGTCAGTTTTCAATCTCGAACGAATGTAATCTTCCATAAAATGCATGGTTCTTGTATAGTGCCCTGCACATAAGTTGAACTAAAAGGGACTCGACGACTCGCATTTTACCAATGTACTATCTACTTAGTCCAAATAATGTTACTGCAATGTCTTCCTCACACATCAATGCTGACAAATATATAATAATATTAGACTTCAGGTAGATAGTACAACGGCAAAATGTGAGTAGTTGATATTCTATTGAGATGCGATTGTTACGTAAACATTGGCAGAATCGCCTGCTGTGCAGCCGCCATTTTGGTTCAACTTGTGTGCCATGCAATATACTAATTTCGATTTAAGGATACGCGGTCAACCAAATGGTAGGTAGTTGACAGTCCGAATTCTAAATCAAATGTTGCGATAAGATAACAAGTAAAAAACAAAATCGCATTAAAAATAATCTAAAAATTTCACAACTACTTACAGTGCACTCTCAAACCTACAGTATAAAGATTATTGATAATAATAATGTACTTAAAATCACTATAAATGCTATAGAGGTCCTAACAGACGGTTGAGATGCTATAATATGATATCTCAAGATAAAATATACACTTCAATGGCTCAAAACACACAGCTAAGATAATATAATATTTTCATTTTAAATATCTTAAGATGCCAAGCAATACGGAAATATCATAGCAATTATATTATCGTAATCATAACCTTGTGTGATAGCTTAAGATGTTAAAATATATAGGTATCTCAAGATAAAATCTTATAGAATCTTAACCATATGTTATGAGCTTAACAAGAGTGCCAAAAAATTAAAACATCCTAATCATAATAATGATGTGAAAAATTTGTATACAGATGTAAGTTTAAACGTGGAATCAATGTTTTATTATTTGTAAAAATGTTTAGATCTTGAATGTGTATAGATGTTTTTATTTTTCTCCTTTAATAAAATATTCAAGGAAAAAAATTATATTTATTTCCTATACATAAAGACTAGTTTCCTATGGGTGGTAAGTGAAAGCAAAAGGCTTTAAAGAGAAATATCGGATTTATAAATAGATAAACAACTTGCAAAAAATAAAATCAATGTAAACTAACCATGTTCTAAAATGAAGAGTAATCTATCTAATAGGACCACAGTTTCTACAAGGGGCGCTAGGACCAGTCTGAGCGAGTATACGGTCACAACACGTCGCCACATTTGCACGTCTGTCTGTCCGCGCAACCAAACTTCAGTCTTAGTTGGTAACGGAACGTTGAGGCGCTCCATTGCTAAATGACAATATCTGAAAATATTAACGATTTTCAAACATTATAAGGATCATACTCGATTATCCGAATGTCGTTCTTAAAACTGACAACCTCTTCGATATTTGAGAGAGAGGGTGATAAGTGAATATGGTTTATGTAAACCTGTGTATAAATGTATGTCAGAATCAATACAGTTAGATTGTCTAAAATACGAGTATAAAACTGCCAAAACCAAATAGGGGTGTAGACAGCTTCTTTACATTTTTATTTTATAGGTATTCATCGAAAAACAATATTCAAATAATAAGTTTAAATCTAAAAATAAATTTAATTTCTAAATTCCCGCGAAAACGCCAACTTCTGTCATGGCATCGCTTTGGCGTCACTCCCCTCTAAAACTGATATATATGTATTCATGTTCTTTGTATGCCTATGGTTTAACTCTTTAAGTTCCGATATAAGCAAGAGGGGCGTGGCGTCACGTGCTGTTTACGGTCATGTGACAAGGATTATATTTTTCTTCATAATTAATTTAAGCAATATTCCAAAAAACATAATAAAACTGTGTTTATCGGTAAAAGTATATTAAATAAACACTACCAGAAAAAAAGTCTTCATTTTCGTTTACTGGCTACACTCATATTAGTTTTTTATTTGAGTGAGGTAAATCTTGTACAATTTTCATTGTTTAGTAATATTAGAAATTAATTATAGATGCAAATGTTTCTCTATTGTTTACAGATGGTAAAGCCGCATAAGGCTGTGCAATTATTATTATAGGTATTGGTAATTTTTGTCTCCTATCACTATGCTTAAAGATCCTAGCAGCGGCACTACAAAAGAACAGGTGAACAAGGTAACAGAAACAAGGCAATATGACAAAAATCTACTAGTACATGCATAGCTTTAGTAGTTAACTTATTCTCTAAAAATAGCTAAATGTATAACCTTTCAAAATTCATTGTATCAGAATGTTTGATGCTTCTTACAGGAGCATGTTTCAGTTTAGGATCAATATCTACTAGAATCCTTTCTAAAGCAGCTCTATAAGCATGGATCTGAAATTTTAAATGAATATGTTACAAAAGTAAAGATAACCATCCATTCAATGGTTGAGTCGCATCTGGCAGTATAGTATCTCGCTTTCCTTTTTTGTCGCCATTTGCAAGAGTGAGAAAAATTTCAGACATAGGATAGCACACTGAAATCTTAAAAGTGATAGACCCTAGCAAATTGCTATTTTAAATATAAAAAAAGATTGAGCAATGTAAAAAGGCAACATGCTGTTATACTCAACCCCTAATTACCTTCAAATCCTCATAATTTCCTTTTTTCAATCGATCACAATACACCTCAATTGCATGGCATGCAATTTCTCTACTTGGGTAAGACAGTTCACTATTCAATTTTTTTGTATACTTGCTCAAAGGATACCCATGGTCAGTCAACTTCATAAAGCAACATCCAACCATACAGATAAACTTAACTTTGTCATCACTAACAAAATGTTTGAGCAACAATGGTCCCAGGTCACCACAAGGGTGAAGACCGACCAAACCATAAGTACCTAATGTTTCAGGTAATTCAATATGAGTGAGTTGTTGGTGACAGGTTAATTTGACATTAAGATGTTCTGGTTTATGTAATTTCTTCATATGTTCATCTGTAATGTGTTTTCTTATTGTATATTCAAGCTCTAAATCAAGTTTTCTGAAATAAAAAACACTATTTTAAAAGAAACTGACATGTTTATGTTAATATTAATATATTTCAGTAGATGATTGTTTACTTTGGTATGTTACAGTTTTTAATTAATTAAAAATGTATTTAGATTTAATATTTATCACCTAGTTAGTAACAATTCACCAGTTCAAGTTAAGCCTGTTGCTATTACTTCAAGTATTTTCAAGTTAAATGTTAAGTAAGATTTGGGATGCCAAATCTACTACAAATAAAAATAACAATTTAATTTGTTGAGATTTCCTTATTCTGGAATATAAAGTAGGTATAATACATACCAACTGTACAGACCTAGCCTCTTCAGTCAGCTGAGACTGGCACTCTAACCCTGCTGCATGCAGTTCATATCTATAGGCCAACATCCTCACCAGATGCCCCACTCCAGATCCAAAGTCTAATACAGCTTTACATTTGGTTTGATCAGCCACATCTTTGACTATTTCTGCCATCAAACTAATTTCATGTCTCTTTTTTAACTTCACATGTTTGAGAAATAAGTTTTTTAACCTAGGATGATTTCCAATGGAATAATCAGGTACATATGTAATATGTTTTTTTGAAATACTTTGTTTTCTGGGAATACTTAACAAATCAACAGCTTTCTTCAATGCCAAAAATGATAACGGTAAAATAATATTTACTGGTTGACCACATAAAACATTTCCCAAAGTTGTAGGATCAATGTTATCAAAAGATTGACGCCAGGCTAAAGGGAGTTTACTCCAGTGATCGTCTTGAAAAAAATCCTATAAAATAATTGTGAACATTTCAAACATTTGTATTTTTATCCAAACAGATTTGTAAAGGAAAAAAAGGATTTAAAAAGGAAATGCGTGTATCCAAATAGTTACATACCAAGACATATAAATCGAGAAGCCAGTCATAGGTTCGTATCACATTTAAAGACATTTTCACGTAGTTTTTTATTACATCTTCTTTGGACAACATTGTGATTTAATTTTATAAAAATAAATAGTCTTCTCCTTCTTCTTTTTTGATTCATGGCCTATTTGCGTTTACACAATACCGCCAATGTCACGTTTGTGGTCTTTACACGTAAAGAAACAATAATAAAATTTGACAATTTGGAGTAATGGAAAAAAAAACCTCTGAGCGCGTCTATTTCATTCCTTTTAACTAACATATAAAAAAACTGAAATTTGTAAAGTTCGAGACTTAGATATCAATACAAATACAAAACAGTGCGAATAGAATATGAGTTGTTTCTTATGTTTTGAATATTAATTTACTTTTATTCATGAAAGAAAACCGGAAAGGTTGCCATGGAGTTATTAAGAAAGTACCATAGTGACATCCAATGAGGAAGTATAAAAAAAACATTAGTTGCCGAAATCAAACTAGATGTCGCTGGGGTACGTTCTTTATTTCTCCATGACAACCCTTCCTGTTTTCTTTTATGTTTAAAAGTAATTTAGTTTTTAAAAATATATAAACAACTCATATTGTATTTGTAATTTTTCGTATTCGTATTGACATCTAAATTTCGAACTTTTCAAATTTCAGTTTTTTAATATGTTAGTTAAAAGGAATGGAAATGAATGTCTTTGATCCATTCTTTCCTACGAAAATCAACTTTTGCTAGAGTCGCCATCTAGTGGGGGTGCTTTTAGTGCTTTGGTTTTTTTTAAATGAAACGTCTTTAAAGTTCTTTAGTCCTACTAAGTCTGTGTCTTTAGTTAATCGAAAGACACAGTTACTCCATAGGTTGTATGGATGAATTCCCTTTACATTTAATTAAATGGAGGAACAACGTCACATTGGATTCGTTATTCTGTCGGCTTTGTGAAAAATTTGTTTAGCAAAAATCGACAAAACAACTAATGAATCCATGAGGACCACACCAATAATAAAAAAAAATAAGAAAGGAATGTAATAAACCAAGGAATTAATTTCTTCTTAATACTATTGAAATATTAATTCTATACCCAATACAAAGTGCAGCATAATATGTTTTTGAAAACGGAGATTTTGAAAGCAATATCTTTTCGAAATCCAGTCAAACTACCTTTGTCATATTGGTTATTAGTAGGTTTAAGATTTGTTTTAACTTTAGTACCACAACAAGGATATATACACCCTGATGAGTTTTTCCAAAATATTGAAGTTATCGCCGGTATGTTACTATAACAGTCGTCGGCATGTGAGTTTGTTACAAAAGGCCAAATTTCCCCTAACTCTTGGAAGCCCTAATAAGAATAACATTTAAGCTCAAAATTGATAGCAAGCTTTTTGTAGCAAGCATACTTATAATTACTCAACTAATACAATTTGATAAACTTTTTATTTCTGCTCATTTTCCCTTTTTTATTTTTCAGGTGATGTTCTCACAGTTGATGTTGCAAGGACCTGGGAGTTTAATCCTAAATTCCCTATTAGAAATATATTTATACCTAAAATGTTATTAGGCCCACCCCTACACTTCATACGATTGGCAAATCCTTATGTAAAAGAATATTTCAATATCGATTTAAAAACTCCTTATTATCTGTTAGTTATTCCAAGACTTTTTATTTGCTTGCTTTCACTGATAAATGATTACTGCTTATACAGAATATGTGTCCTGTACGGTCAGAACTTTCGAAACAGACTAAAAATATTTGCCAGCTCTTATGTAGTGTTTGTATACTGTTGTAGAAGTTTCTCAAATACTTTTGAAATGGTGTTCTTTTCAATACTTCTCATGTTAGTAGCAGAATGTATGCTGAAATCAGATAAAGTAATATACCATGATGAATTTCTAAAAGAAAAATATAAAGAAGCTAAAACTGCTGTGGAAAAAGTAAAGCTATTCAAACTGTCAACTCATTTACCAGAACATTCCTTGAACCGGGTGCTAATTTTATCAACATTAGTAGTAGTAGGAATTTTCAATCGACCAACATTTGTCGGTTTTGCATTCCCTCCAGTGTTTTTTTGGCTTTATAGGGGCCTAGGATCTAAAGTGGTAGGCTTTAAAGATTTTCACTATAGAATATTTGTGCTTATAGTTTGTGGCATTCCACCAGTTTTTATTTTAATACTAGTTGACTCTAGTTATTATGGGTATTTGACTATGGCTGATGTCGAAACATTAAAAATAACTTGGGATAATTGGGTGGTAACACCCTTGAATTTTCTAAGATACAATTCTGACATGCGGAACCTAACACAGCACGGGTTACATCCACGCTGGCTACATCTTGCTGTCAACATTCCACTCTTATTTAACGTGCTGGGCCTTCTCGCAGCCTCCACATTGTCTGGACATATTTATAGGTTTGTATCTTCAGTAGTTTTTATGCATGGTATTTTTAAGATAAGTCATTAGCTTGCACGGTAATAGGGACTTATTATGTGTCCTTTGGGTAGATTATTGAAAAAACATTAAACCTTTTTTTATTCCTCATCAAATTATGGCGAAACAAAGAGTAGAAATGTCGTATGACATCACACCTTTGTACACCTCACCATGCTTGTTGTCTAAGCCATTTCTTATTAAATTAAAGCAAAAAATATATGTATCTGATATTTTTCAAGTATCTAACTGACAGATTAAATTTTTTTGACTAATTTCTTTTTTACCCCAGCACCCAGTCTAGGCAAAATATGTACTTTAAAAATAATTATAAAATTCTCTATTCATTGTAATCTGTTTCATAAATAAATTGCTGTTAATATTAGTTAGTCAAAACAGCATTATTCTTTCTTATGGTTATTTATTTTGAAGTTCGAATAGACTAGATTGCCGAGGATGAACAGCAAAAATACTGTTTATAAGATAAGTAGAGGTTGATGTTGCAGCTCACATGTCATTCAGTTCATACTTCTAATGAAATGGTGCCAGTGCATTGACATGTACATTTTTAAATTCAACCACTATACCATTACTTACATTTCAGTGTATAAATAATCACATTCATAGGTATTGTAATAAGGCATTATACGATATTTATACTTATCCTGATAGAAGTATTTGAAGTTTATGGTACGTCAGATTACTACTAATGCCCAAATTTCTCTAAACAATTTTATATCTAAATCTGTAGAGAGTAAAGTGCTAAAATTGTAAAAAATATGTCTGTGTCGTACTGCTGTTTTTTCATAAGTAGCAGCATTTAGACAGTAACATTCAAAATTTTATTTTTAATGTTACTCCCCTTTTCACCTTTCAGGTTTATTCGTGGACAATATAGCAAGTTGCCGAGAATCCAAAGCATAACAGGGCTTATGATTTTCTCCCTGATAACACCAATCGCCCTGCTGTCTCTATTCCCTCATCAGGAGGCTCGGTTCATCATACCAGTGCTGGTACCATTAGTCTACCTCTTTGGAAATCACCTGCACGTCAATGAAACCGATGCCCCGTACCACAGGAAGCTTAAGATATTTTTCAGATACAACTGGTACATTTTGAACTTTTTACTAACTATATTTTTTGGATTTGTACACCAAGGTGGCATATATCCCTTCGTGAACGACTTGCACAGTGAAATAAAGGCTACATACGGTGTACACACGCACGTTATCACAACTCATAGTTACAGTATACCGACTTTCCTGCTGCAGTTGGAAAGCACTACAAAAGTGTGGAAAGACAGAAAAACAGGCCACAAATATCGACTCGCGCCATCCACGTTTCTCTATAAATATGGTTCTATGCCAACGGATGATTTGTTCACAAAAGTAGATGAAGTTCTAACCGAAGCTGAAATGATGCTGCACAAATATAAAAAGCAGTACAGATTTTACGTAGCATCGCCGTGCTCGTTGGAAAGGCAGATTCTCGACACCGCCAAAAACTATTACTATATTGAACTGATGGAGGACTTTTTGTACTACCCTCATTTTTGCACGGAAGCATTGCCATCGTTTCCAAGCTCTCGTGATCAATTTTGTATCGATAAAAATCTCAGTAGAAAGAACGAATCTCAATCGCTAGATCTGAACTTTTACCAAAGAATCTCGTGCTTTTTGAAAAAGTTTTGCCTCAGAATATATAGAGTAAGGCCAGTGAAAACTAAACCGATTTGAGACTTCATAATACGTACTCGCCTTTTGTCAATTTAATTTATAACTATTAGCCAGTTGCACGAACGTCCATTATTTTTTTCATTAGTTTAAAGCAACATTACCCATACAAGTTTGACATTCATTAGAGCTTAAAGGCGTCATTAAATCTTAATGGACGTTTGTGCAACTGACCGTATAAGCAATATTTACAACTACTTTAAAAAATTATTTGCAGTGTGTGACGTAAATGACTTATGAGAACAAATTACGTACCTGCCACAGCATCAAAATTTCTTAACTTTATGTTCAATGCATTCAAGTGAATACACTTGATAGATTTGTATAACCTGACGTGGTGCTGATTGTACATGATCTTATAGTACGTAAATAATGTTTTCAGTCAATAATTGATGCAACATTTTTTTAGAATATAAGTCATGCCTAATAAAAAAAACGAGATTATTTTGCAAAGTCGTTTAAAAGGATGAAGTTGACTTTCATGTTGTGATTTTGATCGGTCCATTTTTTTATATGTATATTTATTATCTGTTATTATTAATTGTTAATCTCTCTTTACTTTTTGTTAAAATCTCCGTTAGATCTTACAATTAGCTATTACCTAAAATACTCTATTAAGGAAGTGTTTTTTTTCCTTATTATATTTAGTGATTATTTATACATATCATTTATTTATAATTGTAATGTTGCTGTTTTTGTTTCTATCTTTGTGTAATTAGGATATTATGCTTAGTTAAAAGAACGTCAAATAGTCCAACTAGACCCTAATAACTTTATGTTGGTTATCTATTAGGAGAATTGAATTTACCTGGTGCGGTGCTCCAGTCAGTCAGACCTCTAAGTACTTTCAAAATTTATTTAATTTAAAATAAGACTGTATCTACTATTATCAAGTTTAACTAACCCGTCTATATCTATTATTATCAAAATTAAGTAACCCTAGACTCATCTTTAACAAACTTAACTCTAATCAAAGAATAATAACGGGTTTATTATTCTTTGATCGTAGAAGAGACATTATGAAGAAATTTCGTTAAATTAAATTCGGTGTATATTAATTTATTATACCCCCATAAATTAGCAAATTCGCCCCTAGGGTAAGGAACCACTAAATTAGAGTAATAGACAAAACTAATTGCTACATAAAATTCTCAGCTATAAGCTATAATATAATGAAATATATTACGTGAAAACTGTATGCCCATGTATGCTAAGATGTTACTATTAATTAAAATGCTCAGACATGAAAAAAATTGACATCACAATTATTCCAATATTCAATGTATGCTCACAATTGTTATGTGTATTAAGTAAGTTTTTTTTTTAAATTTAGAATTATATTAACAGCTTTAATATTGACAATATGTTTTTCTAGTTTAATTTATTTATTTACTATCTAAATTCTCATGAACGGAAATTGTACACGATCCAATATGAACTCAAAAGCTTATTAATGATTTGTTAAAGAAAAATAGTTTTAATTAATAAATTTTGATCTATGCCTTTGGACTCCTGTAAATTTCCAGTGCGTCTGTTTATTACTATTGCTCACTTTGTGCCATATCCGATGAATTATATTTCTTAAATACTCATAATTAGTAAAAATGCGTACACGGAAATTATACTTTTATGAGTGGTGGTGGCTATACAGTAGCCACCAATAAATTCTGCAAATCTTATTTTACCTAGAATCCTTTTGTAATAATTGAGAGATGAGATTGCATATCAAGAAGTCTAATAGCTGACATAATACAATTTCAGTTGATTACAAAAGGCCAAAGTTCTCCAACCGATAACCAAGTTCATAATTTAATTGCATAAGTAGTTGTTAGTAGTAATCTAATGTGCTGTTTGTGTGTTAACACCCTTCCACATCGCATAAAATTTTCAGTGTCTAAAGGGATTTAATTATACCCACGGATCTAAGCAGCTGCGTATGTGAAATGTTTCTTACACATTGAACTGAGAGTCAAATGTAATTTGTTTTTATATAAACAATTTGAAATGGAATAAACTGATTTAAAATAAGTTATTTTTTGTATCTATCATTTTACCTGTTCCTTTTTCAGTTACTAGAAGCAGAGTTCCAAGCAGTGTAAACTCCATGCAATTTTAACCTTGACAGTTATATAGAAGTCCGAATCTCCTTTAGCGCACTGTGTATCGGGGGTATGTTCCGATATACACTGCGACCACTGAACAGTATGACGTCAATTTAGTATACTGGAAGCCCGTTCCTTTATAGCTAGTTATACTGGTGACTTTTTAAAACGGAACGCAGTCCAGTATACTGTTAATCCTATTTTTTGACGCCATTTTCAAATTTGTTAATGCAAGGTGAATATAAATATAAAGATTCTCTCTTTTCAAAAGAAAATATTAAAATTGTGTATAAAAAATTTATTTATCAATTAAATCCATCTTATAATAAACGTAAGTTTTTTTTTTTGTTTATTTAGAAACTTATCATTTTCTGATTCTGTTTCGACTGATCACGTGATCAAAAGCATTGAGAGCACCTTACCTCGAAATCTCCAGTGCTCACAGTACAAATATGGCGGCAATTTATGACGTCATAAATTTCCCTAGGGTACTGTAGCAGTGTACTGGCAGTCCATAACGGAACGGATTTTTCAGCAGTAAGACCACTGCGCAGTGCTCGCAGTGTATATCGGAACATACTCTGGGTCTGGCGCACTCTGTTGCTTCCCAATTAGTGGAAATCGTACTTTATAATTTAGCGCCAAAAAATAAGAAGGCGGGTTTATAGGAATTAATTTTTTAATGTAAAAAAACAAAGGTATTTATTTAGTCAGTATTATTTTTATTTTGATGTGTTAGGAAATGAAGTTGTCTAATGTATGTACTCGTAGAGGTAAGTAAACGTACAGTTTAGTGCGCGAACGTTGTTAATGTTATACAATTCGATTTTTTAAAAGTATTTTATGCAAAATTAACAAATTTAATACATTTTTTGTTGACGCTTAGATTCTGAACTGATAACATTCTATACAAATCATATTAAATTACGTAAAATGGAAAGGGTTGATTACGTTGTCACGATTAGAACGATGTCATGTCATAATCGATTTGTTGTTTTAAGTACATTTATGAAACCTCTAGCTAAAGGGAATATAATTCACTTGAAATTTCCTCCATAATAAACGTAATAAGATATATCATATGCGTTGGACTAAATGTCTAACATTAAGAATGTAGGCACAAGACTTTGCCATAATATTAAATCTTATTCTATTCAAAATCAGATTGAGGAAGTGTCAAAAATATATAGTACAGTCGACAACACATCATGTTACTACAAAGAGCCAAATCTCTAATCGATTTTAACAGTTAATCTGTCGATACTTAAGTTTAATATAAGCAGAAATATGAACTTTTGTATAACTTGATGTGCTGCTTCTGTTTACAAAACAATGGTACTTCTCCAACGTAATAAAGCTATATTAACTATGTTTTGTTATATAAAATAGTGATTAGTACAATTATACATATTCGACTATATTATTATTAAAAGTAATCAAACGAAGAATTCTTATATTTTGATTTTTGAAGCATTTTTCACAAAGAAAAATGAAGATCATACTGTCATGACATGATTTAAAATAATCAGTAGGGTCGAAAATTGAGTGCACTTTTCACTTTAACATTATCGTTTAGCTACCCTAAAAGAGAAAAGAGCCAATATTGAACATCATTGATGGTGCAAAAATAATCAAGCACATGCAAGCATTCTTATTAGAATGTTAGTGGATTATTTTATGTTGTGTAAAGTTAAAATTTCAATAATTATATTAAACTAGAGATCAATGGTTAAACAACAAAAAATTGCAAAAATCAACTTTAAAACCTATCATCATTTCTATGAATTGATATCACTCACTGAATAGTACAGTGGCACAACTCAAAAACCATATTTCGAGAAACACTCTCCGAAGTTATGAAAATTTAATATATTTATAATCATAAAAATCATTTTTTTTTTAGCATAACAGTTAAATAGTTTGTATTATATTATTACTGTTAAGTTTTTAATTTTTCTTTAAATTATCTATGGGATGCCACCACAATGTTGTGGCGTTTTCTCGAAAAAATGGTTTTTGAGTTGTGCCACTGTACTATTCAGTGAGCGATATAAAGAAGTTGTGGTTTCACAGGATTATCTGATTAATTTCAGAATTATCATGATATAATAGTATTGCATAAATATAAAACGAAAATAAATATTATTAGACTATTTACAGATAAAACTTACATACAGTTACTCACACGTAACTCAAGTGCATAGAAAATAAGTGCTAATGGCGGTCTAGAACAAGAACGTCAGAATAGTTCCTCGTCTACTGATTTTAGTATTGTTATCTTTATTAATAATAAGTGTGTGAGTGAGCTAGTAATTATTCAGTATGAATATATAGAAGTTTCATAATCTTGGGACGCGACCCAAAATACGCGGATGTCCAATTATAAATTTAACGTTACTGTGATAATGTTAAAATATTTGAATTGAAGTTTGGTACACATAGGTAAGTCTATACACTGGCCATATAAATAAAAAAACAAAGTTTTGCAAACCTTATTATGTGATTTATTAAATAAAAAAGAATTCTGTGAGACTTAAAATATTGTTTAGCTCTGCACGCGGGTCAGACTTGCGTTTGTCCGATTTTATTATTGTTTAGAAATATATGGTATATACAATGGTGTGGTATATGAAATTGAAATGGACATTTAGTATTTTGATATGAATAAATTTATATCGATCACACACGGCTGCAAGTCAGTCTATTACAATATGTCAAATATCTTTTGACTTTATTTTCAATTTATTAAGGTTCAAAATCGAGCGGGGAAAACCGAGTGTTGCATAACCCGACTGTACATAAAGTCATGTATGCATATTTCTTATAAGATAATTCACTGATATTTCACCGAAATACCTGTTACTAGTAATAAAATATATAACAGATTACTATATAGTAAATTCAATCTTTTACATACAAACAAACCCCACATAACATTTTTATTGTCAATTTACAATTGAGCTAATTAGGTACCTGACCTATCACCAAAATCCACAATTACTTCCATGAAACCTATTTCAGAGTTTTCATCCTTGAAATTTTTATACAGTAATGTCAGAATGATAAAATTGAGACCAATTACGTTTCATTTCATAATCCTTATGTTGTCCAATTAATACTTACCATGGCAGTCTATCTTAAAGCTGTCACTTGCAACATTGTTTAATTAATCATTATGAGTTATATATTGGTTTATATAACTATTGCATATGTATCGTATCGTTTTTATAGCACCAGGGCATATCTTCGCCGAACTTGCAGCGGTGTGCGTTATTCTTGGCGTCGTACAGTAGAGAGTTGTCAACGTAAGCGTCGCATGCGCTGCACCAAACTGACAAATCGAGTAGAGATAACGCGAGTGGGTGTTGAGAGGCTCGATAATGTGATTGCATGTGTCCATTTATACTGCGACTGCATGCAGTCTGGAAAAAAAATAATTAATGTACAAAAGAATTATAGTACTGTCTACAGTACAGTAAGATACAACTGATGTGGCTCATTGATACAGAAGGTTAAATTTCGAAGCGCAACATGTCGGCCAATCAAAATTATTCATGTATCACGCCATCTGGCGATTCACCAATATCCACGTGCTTAACTTCCACAGAGTGTGTGAGTGAGACAGAAATTTGATGCTTCGTATTTTATATGTTATGGTTGTTGATACAAGGCTCACTATGAATTTCAATTGATGTATGGTCATTGTCCGTCAGTATTAGTAGGTCGCCTCTGCGCAAACGAAGATTCGCTATGCGCCATATTAGTTGAAAATTACTGTATTATATAACGCTACCACTAGGTGGCGTTATATTACGTTAATACTACAATAATAAATTACTTGTTTCACTGTTATAAATATAGACTTAGGTCAGTTCAGGTAAACACCAAATTGTACTGTCACCATGTATGATGTAGCTTCCCCTAGGTGAAAAAATATTCATGATTGGATCAGTATTTCTAAAGATTACTTCTCACAAACATAATAAGTGTAGAAAAGAATAAACAAAAGTAAACATTAGTTGGAACTTCTTATAATTCACATATGACAAGTTCCAGTTTAAATGCTAACTTCGAAATAGCAGGTTGCAGTATATTTCATAAAGGGTTTAGCCGGATACGTATGACGAGTCGGCCCCCAAATGGGAATCGATATTGAAACTTATGTTTTAATATAGACTTGATGTTCAAACACGATTTATGTACTTTTCGCGACCGACTTCCGCTTTGACCTTGAGATAGAGAGCAAAATATCCGTATGCTTGACTATTACTGAATGTGATATATCTCTGAAGTTAATTAAGATAAAGAAGTGAAACTAACGCGAGGTGTTAGGTTACATTACAGAGTATATCACATATATTTTTTTATAATTTTTAGAATAAAAAATTACATTAAAAAAATAAAATTAAAAAAATCAAGTTTTTTTTTCTGAGTTCTCTGTGACTTACAATCACGAAATTAATATATGTTATGCTCCTTTGTGTGCTCTATCACCCATAAAAATTGCGTGAAAAAAAAGTTGGTGCAACACAATGAAAAAAAATTATATGTGATTCGCGCCTTGTAGTGTGAGTGTATAAACAAACAAGTTCGAACTTGTTATCGAGCTGTTTACTGCATCGTTTGTTTAGCTAAAGTAGCAGTCATTTGTATTACACAAGAAGGCAGTTTGGGACTCAAATTCTGTCATAGGTATTTTGTATCAGCATTTTGAAATTATTAACTATCGAACCAAATCATTATTAAGTAATAATGTCGAGAAAGTGTAAAAATTGTAACAAGTACCTGTGTACGATTCCTGGTTATAAAAAATTATAAAGAATGAAGAAGAAGCTAAAGTGTTTAGTGACTGTTTGAATAAAATCGTAATAGTTAATGATATTTTTTGTAAGAAGTGTCGACTTATCCCATATATTAACAAAAAAGCTTCTACTTCTAAATGTGCAGCATTTAACTTGGCCGAAATAAGGGACGATCAAAATAATCTCTCAGTACAATATGTGAAATCAGCACCTAATATCATCAAAGCAGAAGTAAAATCAAGACATATAAATAGAAAAGTCTATCGAATTTACATTCACTATATTACCGAAGGTAATGACTACAATAGTATTCTTCGTTATTGCTGTGATTGCCCCAATGGCAAACGTACAGTGGGATGCTGTTCTCATGTAGCAGCTATTATTTATTATCTATCATATGGATGATATTTGTCCAAAATCGTACGTCCTGCTGAGGTCCTAACTAAGTTATTTGCGACTCAAAGTGTTCCGATTGTAATTAATTACAACAGTGACGATGATTAATAGTTTGTTTCTTGTATTTTGATAGACACGAAAAAGTAATAATAATAAGTATTGAATACTGGCTGTTTTTTTTTTCATTTCTTTTTTAATTATTATCCCATCTCTTAAGACTAGTTACTTATGTTTTAAAACAAGCTGATGTGAAATTTCGAAAAAAAAACAATGATGTAATGTGAAAACCTTATAATACAGGGGTATACCATAAGACAGAAATCACATATAATTTTTTTTCGTTGTGTTGCACCAACTTTTTTTTCACGCAATTTTTATGGGTGATAGAGCACACAAAGGAGCATAACATATATTAATTTCGTGATTGTAAGTCACAGAGAACTCAGAAAAAAAAACATGATTTTTTTACTTTTTATTTTTTTAATGTAATTTTTTATTCTAAAAATTATAAAAAAATATATGTGATATACTCTGTAATGTAACCTAATACCTCGCGTTAGTTTCACTTCTTTATCTTAATTAGCTTTAGAGATATATCACATTCAGTAATAGTCAAGCATACGGATATTTTGCTCTCTATCTCAAGGTCAAAGCGGAAGTCGGTCGCGAAAAGTACATAAATCGTGTTTGAACATCAAGTCGATATTAAAACATAAGTTTCAATATCGATTCCCATTTGGGGGCCGACTCGTCATACGTATCCGGCTAAACCCTTTCATTTTAAATTAAAATGGTTACTTAATTTAAAATAGTACAATACTTACAACAAAGCAGTGCAGACACACCCAGTTCTCCACAGTTTCATCGCACTCTGTACACTTGACGCCTTGCTCAAACTTTACACTGGGTGGTATCGCATATATAGATTCAAGATGTGGACACCAAGGCAAAGGAATCACCGCGAACATCTCCCCATCGACTATCGCCTGCATGTTCTCCGCCAAATAATCAACCAGAGTGGCCGGGGTCTTTTCACTAGCACTAGTTGTGTCACACTTTTTTTCACTACTACTACCACCTTCAACACATTTATTAACACTTTTCGAACACTCCGGTTTCTCTTCTTCGTCATCGGTTCCACAATGTACACCGTCTTCGCACTTACGCTTATCGATGCTCAAGTTAGCCATATGACTTTCGAGGGATCCATCCAGTCTGCTAGCATTTTTGGAACACCCAGACGCATCGAGTGAGCTCAATGATAATTCCGCGAACTTTTCGGACTCGCACGTCGTGTTTCGGTCGTCGACGATCAAGCCCCTTGATGGCAACGGCTCCCCGAGAACATTCTCAGAGGGTAAAGCCAGTTGAAATTTGAGACTTTTCCAGTATTTCTTGTGGGTGCGTATGACGTCATTGATGGATTCTATGGCGGTGTGATGGCACGGGGTTTTACTATCGCACGGCGGTATAGGATCGCCTAGAAGCGCTTTAGTGCACATGGTCATAGCGTACGAGATACTGGTGACGTTGTAGCCGCCTTCCAAGCACAATATAACTTTGCCACCCGCCAAACTTCTTAGGAGGTGCGTCATTCGACCGAAACATTCTGGTGTCACCTTGCATCCTAAGGAATGATTTCAGATGTATTTACATATCTTGCCATTTAAGAGAATACAAAGCTATACAACCTATTTGGCAGGAATTAATTTCTGTAATGTTGAAATTGGTCCATTGAATTTTAAATCTTACACCATTGATAATTAAGTTCAAAATTATTTGGAACGGATTTGGCATTTCTTAGGAATCTGATGGCATTAAAAAGTACCTAGTCGTCAGTAAAATTGTATTCGGTTTCAAATAATTATTTAAATATGAAAAGTAATGCATCTTACCACCGAGCGGGTCTCCCACGCAGGCGTCAAAACCGGCGGAAACAATTACAAGTTCTGGTGCGTATTCTGTGGCCACCGGTAACACTACTTGCGTGAACGCAGCCAAGTATTCCGCGTCGCCCATACCACGCTATGAGTAAGGATTTAAAAAAGTATAAATCAAAACATAAGTCTATTAATATCTCTACTCAGGGAACCTTCAGCCCACCATACAGGACCATTTTAGGTTACAATCCTATGACCGGCCCTTGTGAAAATTGCTTAACCTCCATATGATAGACCAAAAGCATTTCGCCATCCATCGACCTTTTTCGAACTTTTTGTCTTTTAGAAATGAATTATTCCCTTTCTTCATACATCCAAATACGCAGTAATGATGTATTATTGGATGATGTTCGTAGATGAGTATGCGTAGCGTAGGGGAGGATAAAGTAAAAATAATGTTTGTATTAAAGTCACTTTACTAAGTATCTATCAAAAGTTAATATTGTTTACTAAGTCTATTAAATGTTAATTCAAAATGTTAATGTTAATGATAAGTGAGATAATTGTTAGAGAGGACATCCAACCGGTAACGGGGATCGAAATGTTCTGCTGAAAAAACATATGTAACTACAGGCTGGCCGGCGGTGACCTACTTTTCGCCACGAGCCGCGCTTATTTACCTAAACTACGTAAAATGCATATGATGCAGTGTTCGGTCATTAACCGAACAGATGAAATAACACTAGGTCTAATTATAAAATTTAAAAATATTAATTTCCTACTAGGCTCGCTATTGGATGTTGGATGAAGTTGGATGTATATTAAAAACATGTTTTAAATATGCTAGTGCTGAAATTTGATGACAGTAACTTGCAGTACTACATCCTATTGCTCATTAATTAAGCGCAAATTAGATTAGATACTAGTAAACATGTACTTTATTATGTTTAATTACCTTATTCCAAGGAATGTTGATATTGTACCCCTCCCCCTTCCCTTCGCCCACGGCCGTGTAGTCAGCGTCACGCGAATGCGGGAAAAACGATCCGTAGTCGTATCGGTGGAGTGATATATACAATATCTAGATTAAATCAAACATAAACATTTCAAATTCTATTATAATTACAGAAATAATTTTGAACATTAATTACGAAATAAAATGAACTGGAGAATACAGAAAGAATCAACTGCCTCAGTTTATATAATTATTATTTTGGAAAACAGGTAGGTTCCACGGATTCGCTTCTCCACGCATACATAAAAAAAATTCAAAAGAAAATGAAATCAACACTATACAGGGTTATACAGTTTTATAACAGTTATCGTTGAACTAGTTAAGGTGAACAACTCTTAACTAGATTCTAAAAAGCTTTTGCTCTGCTGTCAACTTAATATGTGTAAACCAGCTATTACGTCGTTAGTACACCGACGCAATCTCAAGCGAATTCGAAATAACAATCAGTTCTCTCAGTTGTATGGCAACATTTCGTATTTCGTCTAATAAATAAATAATGAAGCGAGACAAACGCATTATTATTAGTTCAAAGAAATAGCTGCGTCCACGTCAGTACTGTTTCGCAGACAACTGCGAAAAACTTCGTTAGACAGACGCAGATATTTAGCATTCGTAATGGTTTCGTAGATGTTTCGCTTTCGCAATCGAATGTGCGTCGGTGTACTAACGGCGTGAATGAGGATAGTTGATTCTCCTCGATGGTTGCTTTACGCGTTATTAAGTAGATATTTATATTAAAACTTAATTTTAAGCGATTAAGTACGCGTAAACACACAAATTAATAAGTTAATTACATGTGAATTTAATTAAAAATTTATATCAAATTGTTCATTAACTGACATTCGTATACGTATACACGCACAACACACACAAACAACTATTGTGCTTATGGACAAAACTGCACATAAATTTGTTAAACATATACTAGAATGCGAAACATCTGCAAAACTATGTGAATGATGACAGGTTTCAGTCACCTTTTGAGCAATAAAATTCGCGATATTTAGAGTCACCAGTAACCGGGTCAGGTGGCAACCCTGAGTGCGAAACATTTGCGTCTGCGTGACAACTTTTTTGTAGTCGACTACAAAACCGTAATAATAAGGATGCAGCTATTTCATCGAGCTAAAATAGACCGAGACAAAGCACATGCGAACCATTGCCATACAATTGAAATGTTTCGCATTCGCATGCGATTGCGTCAGTGTATTCACGGCGTTAAAATGACATCACACGGGTAAATTTTTGTTCATTTGCTCCTTTCATTTTTCATATCTCACTCCAAGTGTCAGGTCTAAACACAAAATTAAAGATTAGAGCCGAATGAATTAATTAGTGGACCGACCAACAGTTTTGGACATGTGCATCTGATATTTTTATTTCCCACTCTGAATGAACGAGAAATTACCGGTCCGAACACCGAACCGAACGAACTTTATTCGATGACATATTAAAATAAAAAGCAGTGAATTATTGTCTTCGTAAGACGGAGTATGAACAAAGAGTGATAGAAACAACGTAGTTCACTCGAGTGGACCGTGTGACATAACCTTTAAGCACGTGTAAAGCACCCATTAGACAGTGACCTGACTGGTGTGGTAGGTGAGCCGTTGCGTGCCGTCGCCGTGGTGCACGTCCCAGTCGAGCAGCAGCACGCGCGCGCGGCGGTGGCGGCGGACGGCGTGCGCGGCGGCGGCGGCGGCGGTGTTCACCAGGCAGAAGCCGGCGGGCGCGTCGGCGGCCGCGTGGTGGCCCGGCGGGCGGACCACGCACACGCCCGCGCCCACCGCGCCGGACAACACCGCGTCCACCATCTGGACACGGACACGGGACGTGCACGCGTTATTATTTACTTGCTTTCGCCCGCGTGGTACTTAGGGAAATGTTAAGTGGGATAAAAAGTACCCTATCTATATACCAAATTTCATCAAAATCCGTTCAGTAGTTTCGGCGTGATTGACCGACAAACATCTAAACATCCAAACAAAGAAACTTTCACATTTATAATATTAATAGGATTACTAGCTCACCCGACAGACGTTGTCCTGTCTTAATTATGAATATTGAACAATTTTTTGGTTTTCCAAAGGTCTTAAAATAAGTAGTTTAATCTTTGTTAAACTTCGCTTCGTTTTAAATATTACTAAAATAAGTAGTTTAACAAAGATGCTTCGTTTTAAATATTACTCTAATAAAACAAATAAAAATAGATCAAAGTACTTAAAATATAATGGAATTTTAAGAAAATGTATAAATTGTTCAAAAAGGCTTGTAAATCAAAAATATGTCTGTAAAAGTAATAGAATATTTGTAAGGAAACTTGGACTGTCATTCAAAATGAGACTGTTGGTGAACTTTTAAAAATAATTATATTAATACGTTTTCTTAGCAAAAATTAGGATCAAAGACAGCTCTATTTATGAATGCGAGCTGGACGTAGGAACAGTCGACCATATTTTTTTCAATCATTCTTCCTTGTATGATGTCATTCCCTCATATATTCCCAAACCCACAAATTTTAAATCTGTCTTAAGATATCTTAACTCTCCTTTTATAATCATCTTATGTAATTATATTAAGAGTAAAAACATTCGTCTATGATTTAAATTCAACAAAATTCTAAATTTAACTTGAGCTTTCACTTCTATCTTCCAAAAAGCAGAGTTTATAAATTATCAAAACATGAATTAAACTGAGCAAAACACTGGATTCTGGCGAAATCCACAAGGGCAACGCCATTAATTAAAAAGAAGAAGAAGAAGAATTATATTAATTGATCAGTGTATAATGACGAAGAGGCTATAGCCTCAATTATGATTGCTTCTACATTTAATGATTACTTTATTGATGACATCAAAACTAATTCTAATTGTAACAGAACAAACGCGATAAATTCAACAACATCAAACGGTATTTTTTACCACCGGTAGATGAAAATACAATATGCAAGACTATCGGTCAGTTGCACAAACGTCCATTAAGGTTTAATGACACATTTAAGTTCCAATGCATGTCAAATTTGTATGGGTAATGTCGCTTTAAACTAATGACAATTTTAATGGCACGTTAGTACAACTGGCTGTCTAATGTCTCTGAAAAACTTACAATCTGAACTCTCTTTGCACTAAGGTACTAAAATATTGTAAAGGTGAAATGTCAAAGGTGAATGTGTCAGGTATTGACCTTTTTGGTGAATCTATCATTACAAACAGGACAGTTTCCTGATAGATTAAAACTAATTATTATTAAGCCGTTGCATAAAAAAGGGAATAAATCTGATGTACGTAATTACCTACAATATATTATACCTGTAACGCACAGCCGACTGCCATTGAAGCGCTCTCCAGAGAATCAGGGTGAAAATACACAGACTCGAACGCGTCTTTCTGACTATGTAAATCTCTCAGCTTTGTTGATGATAATTCCTTTAACCTACAAAAGAAAAACGAAATAATAAAATCAGGTCCTCTAGTTACATCAATGACAGATGACAACGGATAAACACTACATATCACATATAAAAATTAACAGTTCCACTAGTATTACTACGAGTGGGGACTAATAATGTTATTTGAATCAAAAGATACTAAACTAAAACATTTAAACTGAACGATACCAAAGACAAGAAACTTGCATTTTAAAAGGTTTTATATAACTAGGTACCTTTTTATTACCGATTCATATATTTTAATATAATTGTAAATTCTATATATCACCTCTGCAAATGTTTTTCTGAAGTGACAGCTAATATTTCTTCGTCAGTAGCGAGACGCGACGGCACCATGTGTACGCGACTTAACAGACCGAAGTCACGGTGCCGCTCGTGTATACGCATTATGCGTTCCGGACATTCCACGTGCCCGCTGAAATTACACCAAACCACTATAGAAACAATGTTGAAATTACGTCAACATCTATTCTATCTAACATAATAATGCAAAATATTTTTTACTAGATGTTTTCAAAATGTTAGTGAACGATACACCCATTTTGTTTTTGTCAATGCAGTGGATTTTTTATTTATTTGTTACACATGACAGAGTTAACAAGAAGCATAAACACGTAGTAGAAAGTTAGCAATCGGATGCAGGCTACAACAAATATTCGTAAACGGCATGCATAATCAGAGCAACAATATTAAAATTAAAGAGTTATAAATTAATTCAAAATTTAAAGCATTTTATCTTTTACATTAATAAAAAGTAAAAATAGTAAATATAATTATACCCACACATTATATAAAAGTTTATTATATACTCACGGTTCACAAATATTTCTGTGTTTTAACATCACCGGGTCGTAAACGTACCCGACCTCGTGCTGTGGCAACGTGAGATCCGTGACTGAAAGCAAAAACATATGTTACTTTATATATATATATAACGCTTGCTATATTTATATATATATAATATGAATATAAAAAGCACCACATATAATAAACATCCGCTGCCACATGATGGTATTAAGATGTTTCCATCTCTGAGGAGTGTTGTTCGATTTCATTTAAAATTGAAAGAGTTTAGAGGACATAACCCGACTGTACTGTTGACTGCGACAATAGATATTATACGATTAGTTTATCACTTTCTTTAAAAGTCAATATGTCTTTATATATAACGACGAAGATGACAAAGGGGAATTTAAGGTTTGTACAGTATACAACACGTCCCGTTAACATATCTGTCAAATTCAACAATCAATTTTAAACTTTAATAATTTGGCAATAAAGTTGAAAATCGCAATAAAGTTAGACATATTGTGGTAATCTGACTTGCTGCTGTTCTAAAATTACACTCACCAATCTCAAGACGGTTCAATCTTTCCATAATCTCCCTCTTAGTGTTATCATCTTGCAACGGGTAACAGTCGCGTGTGGCGAATCGTTCCGGTCTCGTTTCGTCTCCCTCCCACCTCACCTTCACTACGTGCTTCTCTTTCTGACTATCGCAAACGTTCGGCACGCTGTTGTCAGTACTGTACGTCAGCTGGTAATTGTAACAGTTCCAGTAAGGTCTGTGAGCGTAGATACAGTTCAGGATGGTCTCCCGGATCCTTTGAAAAGAGTAAAATAAACATTGCTATAGTATATACACTAATATGACATCGTGAAATTGATTAGATGATGAAGTTAATATCAGGGTGAGTGTAAAGGGTCATTACGTATAATACATACACGGTCAGTTGCACAAACGTCCATTCAGGTTTAATGACGCCATTAGGCTCTAATGAATGTCAAATTTGTATGGATAAGGTCACTTTAAAGTAATGATAATATGTCATTTTAATGGATGTTTGTGTAACTGGCTGACATTGGCTAAAACCGTGTGTAAATGATATAAAAGTCGGTTTAAATCGGACTAAAGATCCGTCAAGCGTCTCAAAAATATGTGTTAGTTAGCAATAAACCATCGAATGTGCAAAGTAAAATGCAGTAGCCTAGCGTGCTCTGTATGAAAATTAGTCGGAGGCCCAAATGAAGGGTAACTTTTGAATGATAATGTCTTCTACACTAATATTATAAAGAGGAAAACTATGTTTGTTTGTAATGAATAGTCTCAAAAACTACTGGACCGATTTTAAAAATTCTTCACCATTCGAAAAAGCTACATTATCCACGAGTAATATAGGCTATATTTTATTTTGGGAAAAAGTAGGGTTCCGTAAGATATTTGCGTTTTTCGGACACAAGGTGTAAAAAATCAACCAGAAAAGTTACTTATGTTGCGTACGCTGCCTAAACTATAATAGATAGAATCATAAAATGTTCTAATTTATTGTAGATCTTATAAATATCCACAAAAAAGTACGCGACACATTATACCTATCTATGTCGAGTGAGGCACAAAAACCCTTTTTTTTATTTAAAAATCTTGAATTTATTTTTTACGCGTTTATTTTATTCGTGCTATTAATCCTTATCAAAATAAATTATTTCATCACTAAGTACAGTTTATGTAGAATTGGACATTTGGTTTTGAAGTTAGGGCGAAATTAAAATATTACGATTTCTGCTGCACGGTCCGTTGCGAAGTGGACGTCACCAAGGCGGGGGATGCGCGTGCGGGAGGGGAGTTTAGATCTATGAGTAAGGTACCAGCGGACCACGCGGGCGAAGCCGCTGGCAAAAAGCTAGTATCATATATATAAGATCACATTTCCGCCCCTTAGCACCAAGTCAGTCTTCGCGTTTAATTTAATATTAGTAATCAAACTGAAGGTCATTGACAATAATCGGTCATTATCTTTCGATATAATGGTAAGTAGCAATATTTTATGGAAATCTTTTTTAGAATTCCGCACCCAAAAAAAAAACACAAATGTTGATGGGGCACCCATGAAAGTAATTTTTGTGATATATAGCTGGCTTTCCGCTGCGGCTTGGCCCGGGTGGTCTTGTATTATACATAAAAATCTTTCTTTTGGATCACCCTATCTATTTAAAAAAACCGTATCAAAATCCGTTACGTAATTTACAGATCTAACATACATAGCGACAGACAGACTGAAAGCGATTTTCGCGAGTCCGACTCGCGCTTGGCCGGAATTTTTATTCTTTATCGCTCATGTTAGTAGTTTAAAAAGAGAAACAGAAAAATCGTGAATATTTTTTACAGTAACGAATACAATATTTAAATTTATTCCAGTAATTTTGGTGCAATTCAAACCTCTAAATTAAAAGTAAATGCCAAATCGCAAAAAAGTGTAAAACTTCAGTCCAGAACTATACGGTTCTTACGGTGTATAATTCCTCGGTCGTGGCGTCGACCTTCTTCAAGTGTATAGTTTTATTCACATAGCATGGGTAGTAAGACGTTTAGGATATTTTTTTATGATGTGATAATAAAATATATATATACAAAAATTCGATATATGTTTAAGTTCATTTCTAATAAAGACAATAGATTTTGAAGTCAATGTATTAAACAGGATTTAAGAATAAGATCTATTTATCAAGGCATAAAAAAAGTCAACACAACTATAATAAAATTTTGCATTTTTCTGATCCCTATCAGAAATATACAAAATTTTATTATAGTTAAGTTTAACTGTGACAACAACAATAATTTCAAATTGTCAAATGATTACCGAATACATATTTCGATTAAAACGATTTTACGAATCCAATCCATATTAAAAAAACTTTCCAATTGTTATTACAAGTATTGATGTTTTAAACTTTAGAGGGTTAGATTTCAGTAATTATGGCTGTTAAAAAACCTATACTATATGTCTTTTTTAATATGCAAATTTAAATTGCATGAAATCGATCTGTTAACAAATGTCACCGCACCCATGCTGTGTAACACAGTCTACAGCAGTGATTCCCTAAGTGGTCCTGGTGGACACCCAGCGATCCACGAGGGATTCAACGGGGGTCCACGTTGGCGTGAAATAAAAATAAATATCTTCACATTTCGGACAAATTTTGGGGATATGGTAAAAATGTAGCAGCAGGGGGGTACACCGTAACCAGTGAATTTTTTAAAATGGTCTATGAGAAAAAAAAATGTTTGGGAACCTCTGGTCTACAGTATACTCACTGGTCGCTGGGCTCGGCGGGTCGCGGGGCCGGGCGTGGGGGCGGGGGCGGGGGCGCGCGGCCCAGCAGCGCGCGCAGCGTGAGCGCGGCGCCCCACGACAGCGAGCGCACGCAGTACCCGCCCTCCAGCACCACGCCCACGCGCGCGCACACACCCATCAGCAGGTGAGTCAGCGTCGCGTAACACGCGGGCGTCACTTCCATCTCGCCCTACCGTACCGACACATCTAAATCAATAAATACGTTCCGTAGCCACAGAATACGATACATTTCCCTTCCCAGGCTGATTTACACGTGATTAAATATATAAATAGTGTAGGGTAAAAGATAATTGTGCTAATGCTCAGAAAATTCTCAAAATGTAACGCGCTTATTGCACAGATTGATTTTAATTGCTATTGTACATAAATTTGGGTCACGGCAAAAATACTGATATACAATTTTAATTATTATAATATTATTTTGACAGATATGTACGATGACTCCTACAAGCAGTAAGTAGAATTTTAGCTAAGTATTTATAAAGTATAAAGTTAAATATTGCATAACGACTTATGAGCATAATTAAAATTAAATATTAACTTACTAATTATTTGTGTTTACACATGCTTAATCACTTAAAATATCTACTTAATTCCATATAAACTAGTCATAAAATAATGTAGTTTTTAATAAAAGGACATATGAGCTTATCATTCAATGTGCCATCGAAAAACATTTCGGAAAAATAAACAAATAAACACGATTTAACCTTTTATGCCTGTGAAGTTTATGACGTCCAATCGGTATATATTTATATTATTTAATAGACGATCTATGCTACAAAATAAGAATCTTAGTTTTGCCTCTCCGACGCAAGGAGGTAGTATTTCAGGTCACATGATACACAGATTTAAAAAATCTTCTTTTTAATAAGATAATCACGAGATTTTACAAAAAAAAATGTATATTTATTTCAACGTAAAGGAGAATGGGCAATTTACTATGAGAGTTCGGCTATTTTTGCGTAACTATGCAGCTTGTTGAAACTAACGGCAAATTATAGAGAATTATTATTAGAATGAAAAGAAAAAAAATCATTTTAAGTTTATGCCGGAGTTGGATAATATCTGAATATTTATCAAGGATTTTGAGGTTATGTCGTTATAATATCTACGTATATAAGAGCAATAAAATGTTAAAATATTTTATTTTGTAAAATTAGTGGTAGGAAGTTCGCACGTCAAGTCGATTAATAACTTGAAACTTAGTAGGTAGTCGTAGTTATATTATAGTATAGAATATATTATAATTAAAGAGAAATTTTTGATAAATAAATGCTTAGTGCGCAATTTTAGCCGACTTCTGCCCATTCTCCTTTCATTTTTGAACAAATTTCAAGTCCAATTTATATTATTAAGCAAAAAACGTATCATAATAAAGATTTAAGCCTAGAAGACGAAAGAGTCTCCAACATCATTAACTTGCTATAAATTAAGAATGATGATTAATTTAATATAATTTTAATAAAAGTTCGGCTATTAAATGAAATGCAGTAGAATTATGACCTCTATTTCTTACGTAATAAACGCTTATTCTAAGCGACACAATAATATTTATTTCACCTTTTCATCTCCTAGGGCCGAGTCATAGCCAGCCGACACGATAACCATTTCAGGCGAGAACTGAAAGAGACAACATTATAACTATAACATAGAAACAGTAAGGGATAGAGTACCTCGGGACAGCCGATCGCAGCGTCGTAGCCAGCCGATATAATAATCAGCTCCGGTTGATACTGGAGACAAAGCAAAGTAAAGAAAATTTATCGAGACACATTTTTTCTTTTAAATATTTTTTTGTCTGACCGCAATGAGCCCGCGTTGTGATGCCATTCCATCCACAGAGAAAGCTGGTAATGTGATATGTGATATAAAACTTAACATTACTAATAACAAAAGTTCTGTAACGAGGGGCTAGATGGACAAACAGAAATAATAAAGGTAGTGACTATTTCTGGCTTTATAGGTTTAAATCATACATTCATCATCATCAGCCCTTTTATGTCCCACTGCAGAGGCTCAAGCCTTCCTTATAGATGGTTAAGGAGGATGGGCCATGACCCTCCACACTGGCCCAATGCGGATTGGAGGGTATTAACGACTGCAAATGCAGGCGGGACCAACGGCTTAACGTGCCTTCCGAAGCACGGAGTAGCTCGAGATAATAATTTTTTGGTCACCCATCCCGTGACCGACTCTTGCGAAAGTTGCTTAACGACAACGATCGCGGGCCGCGGCGCTTATCCATTAAGCCACCGAGCTACTCAATCATACATTATTCAATGTAAATAATAATATAGCACCGACCACTAATTATTTATTAAACATTTTATAATTCAACTACAGCTTTGTTCTGTTCAATATGTCGCTTAAAGAACGTCATTTATACCTAATTTAATTAAAATAGAATAACTAAAAGTTAAGAAAAATAATCATAGAAACTGTTGTTTCTCAATAAATTTAATCAATAAATTCAATCTCAATAAGTTTTGCATTAAAAATATTCTTAATGATAAATGCTTAAATTTTTCCAGAATATTGATGAAAAGACCCTCTGTAGTAGGGAAAAATTAACAAGTGCCCAAAGAATTCGTCAGTCCTGTTAGGTCCTGGGTAGCTCAGTGGTTAAGAATATAATAAGTATTCATCATTTTTACATGCCACTATTTTAATTAAGCTTTCATAATGTAATACTAGTAATTATTTAGATTCACAAGTTTATTTATATTTATTTATTTATTGTGTTTATAATCACGGCTGTGGTTGAAAAACGCGCACATCGTTATTAAATAAAACAAAAAAATTGCACGATGCATTTAGACATAGCGCCATCTAGTGAAGGACGGGGAAACTATATTTTTTTAACTTTTTTGTTTTTTTTTCCAATAAATGTATTCGTCATCAGCCTATCATTACAATACAATACAATACAAAAATTCTTTATTGTACACACCATTGTTTACAAAAAAAAAAATAATCGGAATAATAGTATATAAGGTAGTACAAGGGCGGCCTTATTGCTTAAAGCAATTTCTTCCAGAAAACCTTTGTCATCCAAAGGTATATGAAAAACAGAATTACGGTGGCTTAAATTTACTAATAGAAGAAACAATTGTCCCTACTACTACAGACATTCTCTATGGATGAAATCAAACACGAAGAAACGGGCCATAGACAACCCATCCACGCCGCCGCAATGTGGATTAGAGGTATGAAATAGGGTGAATGCGCTAATCCCACACTAGGAACCAGTAGGGATACCATTTCAAGTTTCACATTATCAAAATATTGCTAAATTAGTCTGCTACTGGTGCATCCACCCTATATCACACATTTATAAGCAATTTGAATAATTTACCTCAAAAGCCATTGGCAGTAACAGCTGATGCCAGATGGCAAGGTAGTCCGCGTCACCCATGCCGGTTTTATTTAACGGCACGTTAAAATTGTAACCTCGTCCGCGACCCGCGCCCACGTAATGGAAGTCCGACTGACGCAAGTTCGGCCAGAACGAACCGTGCTCGTATCGGTGGATTGAGAAGTACACCACCCTGGGGACGATTTATAAGATTTCAAAACATTTGCCCATAGTTCTCAATTTTCACAGGATTAAAGCAATTAATTTGACAGTCGATGTATAATCTACTGAGATAATTTATCGTGTTGTGTCATCTCATCTAGCCATACCTAGGGTCGTCGTAGAACATCTGCTGCGTAGCTTGCCCGTGATGCACATCCCAATCTACAATAAGTATTCTGCAACAATAGATTTCAGTTGTCAGTTTCATATAAGGTACTGTCCTATTAAGTGCAAAAAAGCAAACTAGAATATGGCTCAATTACAATTCTCGCCCACGGATCAATAAGGACGGAAGAATATCATTTAAAAATATTATTTTTATTGGGCTGGGTTTAGTTCCATTAGGTAACGTTCCGCTTAACAGCAGAGCGACCGCCTAACTCTCTAGCGATTTTACCATTTTGACGTGTACTTTAGTAACGACGAACGAACAACAAAGAATGATGATTATGGATTTGATAGCAGTGTTACCAACTTAGTCATTTATCCCAAATTTATGCAAAAAAACATGTCAAAATAGTAAACATGAAACGAATTTATCTTCATAACATCGAAGTGCTATGCGGTCGCACCCCTGATCCAGTTTTCCAAAACATATTCCTTTGAATTTCGTAAAAAACAATGGAGAAGTATTTAAAAAAAAACGAAAGCACTAAAAAAGCACTTTCACTAGATCGCGACTCTAGCAAAAGTTGATTTTTGCAGGAATCGAATAGACCAAAGACAGTCATTTCCGTTCCTTTTAACTAAAATATAAAAAAACTGAAACTTAGATATCATTAATAATACGAAAAAGTACAAAAAGAATATGAGTTGTTTATTGAGTTTTGAAAAGTAATTTACTTTTGAACATGAAAGAAAAGCGGAAGGGTTGTCACGGAGAAATCAAGAACGTACCGTAGCGAAATCTAGTTTGATTTCGGGAACTAATGTTTTTTTTAAATACTTAGTCATTGGTAAATAAGAAAATTGTTAAAAAAAATCATAAGTGCACTTAAAAAGTTTCTTTGTACTTGGAGTTTCGATACTACAATAAATCTAATAGTAACCTGTTGAGTCCGTGTTTGTGTATGGCATGTTTGGCGGCTAACGCGACGTTGTTATAGAAGCAGTAGCCGCAGGGCTCCGCGCGCATGGCGTGGTGCCCCGGCGGCCGCACGAACGCCGCGCCCGTCTGCACCTCGCCCCGCACCAAACGGTCCACCAGCTCTATAGTCGAGCCCGCCGCTAACAACGCGAGCTCATGTGTACTCTATGGTAAAGGAAAACCTGCTTGTGTAAACTTTGATACAATTGTCCAATGATAGTCATGACTTTCTATGGCTTGATTTTGATTCAAATATTTGATGCTATAATACTAATTATTACATTAAATATTAAATGTTTTTTTTTTTTTGCTTCAATTTATCTATATTATGAGTAGCCTTTAAAGTTGAGTGCCTAAATGTATCGGCGTAATTTATTAATTATGCAGAAAATTTTAAAAAATTACTCATCATGCCTATTACAGTAAACTTCACATATAACAAATAGTGTGCGTACAGTGACATAAAACTGCTATGATGTATATGCTATAATGGTAAATATGTACAACTACGCATTATTGAGATTAGATAAAACACTAGATAAGCATTCAAATGTAATTACTTAAATTGCTATCCTAGAGCAGATATGTTTGTAAGAACATATTATAAGGTTTATATACAAAGTCATTATAAATAGATAACATCATAATATACAACATGTGACCTGTTAGTTTTAACATTATGACCTCGGTAGCTGAGTGGTTTGCATGCCGGATTCAAGACGTCGCCATCTCCGAGTCCCAGGTTCGATTCTCGGGCAGATTGTGCTGTGGCACCTTCGTGGTCTCAGATACTTCATAATATGGTGGTATCTTGAAGTCTGAGCAATGTATGTGATGTTGTCTAATATTTATTTATCAACTGTGTGACGTAAGTGCTTCAAGTAAAATTGATAGCATCAATACAAGTGCCAGGCTTGTAAGCAGTTGGTATACAGAATCCACAACCCCTTTATACTTTATCAGGCCTATGACTGGCAAATAAACAATCGAAAATGAATACTTTAGTTATTGTGAAGGGTCTGGGTGTTGAAGTACCTTCAGCATTTCCAATTTCCATAACACAAGTGTTTTAGCTACTTAATATGAGATCTTAAGTATGTAATGTTGTTTTTTAATGAAAGCAAAAAGTAACAAATTCAACAAAAGCCATGACACAAGCATTGTTATTTATTTATAACGGGGATTCATAATATCAAGATAATGATTTGTTGAATAATCATCATGATAAATATCAATAGTAATAGGCAACAATGTTTTTAATACAGAAAGCCATTAATAATTGAAAAAACAAAATTTCTTGGTATAAATTATAGAAATTATACAAACAGAATAAACCCCGATTTATAATGTTAACTATAGAGTCCTGCAAGGTTGATGTTTCATAAATGACCCTGTATATTATTCATAATTTTTTAAGAAATAATAACTTACAGGGTGTATGTATATGGCATCATATTTAGAAGATAACTCCTCCAAGTATGCAATATCGTTGTTCTTATGGGTAGTTTCAAGCATTTCGTAAATTGATGGAGAATGAAGTACACATAATTCTTCTTTTGTAGCAGCTCGTGGTTGAATATTTTCACATTGTTCAATTAAGTTCAACTCTTTACACCTAGAACAGTAATGTCATTTTTTTTATCATTTCTATAGTGTCCTTAGCCTAAGATATCTGTATAACTGTGTCTATGAATTATAAAAGTGTGACACTGAAATGCCACAAGACTATTATACTACACGCCAAAAAAAATAACTAACTTAATTGAATAGCCTACTATTAGGGATCATGATCATAAGACAGTTGAAAAATATTAAATATATATATTTTTTATTTTTTGTGTAATCAATAAATCCATTGATACATCGAGTTAAAATATCTATTACATCATGCTTTTGTACATTCTATACAAAGCCGTGTTGTAGCAATCCCCCTCCCCCCCACTGCTTAATTCTAATGCCTGTAATCCAACATATTTTGGACCAGATAATAGAAATTGTTTTTTTTTTACCCAGGCATCATCCCATTTAATGATGAGGGATTTCAGCTTGCATTTATCTGATTTCTTATTAAATCTGTAACATGTAACTTTACTAACCTATTTATGACACCTATTAATCTTTCAGGACATTCTGGATACTTGTCATCCCATAAACATAAGTGTTCAGCCATACGAGGCTCAGTTACAAATCCAGTTGGACCTTTTACATTGTTTTTTGACTCCATAGCCTGAAGAAATAAATAAAAATAAATGATTTTATAAATTATACTTAAACATTTTAAAATTTAAAAGTACTTATCAAACTGAATGTTTTTTGATATCTTCTTTTACATAGATACATACTACTAGACTACTAGTTGTTTTTCTGTGACTTCACCTGCATAAATTTTAACCAATATCAACCAGTAAGTGATTTTTTTTTTTTTATTAATACAAACAGACAACCTGTTTGTGTTACTTCTTTACTATATATAGTACAGTATAGGCTATAATATTTATAGATTAACAGCCAATTGCACAAACGTCCATTATATTTTTCATTAGTTTAAAGCAACATTACCCATACAAATTTGACATTCATTAGAGTTTAAAAGCGCCATTAAACCTTAATGGACGTTTGTGCAACTGACCGTATGTAATTCAATGAAACTTATAATAACAAGTAATGGAAATTATACCAAATAATAATAAAAATACTTGTTTAAACATTTTTTGTCTCATAATATTAATTTTCAATGATAAAATTATAACAACTTACAGTTTGGTAGTGATCTCTTAGAACAGAGTCAATAGGTTGCTTCTTTTTTTGGAGAGCCTTCTTTTTAGCAGCAAGTACAGATGCTGAAGGCTAAAAACAAATGACAAAAATAGGCAAAATATAGTATCATATCAAATTACTGTAAATATTATAAAGATAAAACAGAAGGACTTATGCAATAAACAGATAACCTTATACATTATTCAATATTTATACAAACATCATTTGTTTTTATTGTGATCTGTCATTTAATCAAGGTTTGTAATCAAAGACAGTTTCTCACTTGAAACTCTTTTAAATATGTAATTCATAGTTTCTTTGTTATGTATTGTGGGTGTCAACATATTAATCAGTGTTTTACACCTACGTAATCGTAAACTATCAGAATCGCTTAATAAGGTAAGGAGAATAGGCTTTCTGCAATATTAATTTCAAATGATGTTGAACTATATTCTTTAGCTGGCTAAGTATAATTATGTCATATTATTGTTAATGAAATGAATAGTTAAGATTTGTAGACTATTAAATATTTACTTTAGCACCAGCAGACATGGCGCGTGTTTGAATTTTGGCCTTGCGAGCCCCATTTCGGGTAACAATACTGGAAGGCGGTGGAGTTGTCTTCTTGGTTTCGTCAGCAGAACGACGCAGCTGTATCGAGGGCGGTGGGGTAGACTAACACAAAACAATATCAGTCACAATAACATTGATTACAAAAATAATAAAACAATAGACTTAAGTATAAAACAAGCTTACCATTATTCAAATTTTGCCGATCTTATTTATTGAAACTGACAATTTAAAGAAAACTTATTTCTATTTATTGATTAAACTACATGATTAAGTTACTGTTGATATATATAAAAATGTAAAATGCAAATCCATAAAATACAGAAAAGAATCTTGCTACACTTCTTCTTCTTCTTTTTTTAATTAATGGCTTATCTGCGCATTTCGCACAATTCTGCCAATGTCAAGTAAATAAATTAATTTTTACATGTAAAATGAAAATGAAATTAATGAAAGATGGCGATGATTGTCCTTGCTACACTTCACATTCGCTTTTGATTTTTGGCGTTTCGTTCTTTCTTCTTATGTTAAATTTTTCACAGCCTCGGCCTTTACCATCTTGGCCTACATCAGTCAGTTTCCAAAAAAAAAATACAGTGATATACAGTAAAAAACCGATAATCACCCGTTATTATTTAAAAACAATAAAATATACGAATTTTAAATTTATTACTTACTTATGTAATATCAAGGTAATATGTATGTCGTAGAGTATTATTGTTCTGTGATATGTTTGCCCAGTGGAAAAAAAAATAATCACAGAACCAGTTGTAAGTGTGGATTCATAAAAGGAACGGAAATGACTGTCTTTGGTCCATTCGTTTCCTGCAAAAATCAACTTTTGCTAGAGTCGCCATCTAATGGAGGTGCTTTTTTAGTGCTTTCATTTTTTAAAATACTTCCTCATTTAACTAAAATGAATCCACACTTACAACAAACTGGCGGATTTGGTGGATTTAATATTTACAGAATGAACTAACTGTATCTTTTGGTTTTGCAATGTGGATGAATAGTGCAAAGTTTTGGCTTAAAAGACTTTTCATCCAAGCCAAAAAAAATATAGAAAAAAATATTGGTATTTCTTTTTTTTCAGTTATCTCTAAGTCAGAAATGGCTGTATGGGTAAAGCTCTCTTCGCCTTTCTTTTACGGAATAATCTACCAAAAAAGAATCTCTAAGTCAGAATCAGTTTTTGCAATGAAGGTTACAAAACATAACTTAAAATATTTTGGTTATTAAAATCGAAAGATTAATTAGAATATCTTTTATTGGTTTGTAAATTCTTTGTTCTGTATAAGTAAAGGTTTCGTTAGTAGTAATATTTTTATTACATTAAGAAATATTTTTTCAGTCTGGCGGTCATTCGTTATGTGCTGGATATTTTACATTACGGAAATCTTAAATGAATGATTATTAATATTAAAGGTTAGGATATAATGATACTTATCAGTAATGTTAATGTTTAGTTAATGTTGCTTCAAAATAAGTTCATGCTTTGTCGCATTTTCAGGTTACAATTCAACATGAAGATGTTAAAACCACTCTGGATTTTGAAACATGTTAAAAGGAGGAGGCCCGGACGCAATGTTACTACATGGTCACCACTTGCTACTGCATTCAATACACGACCCACATCTAGACCTATTTTTGATTCTCTTAGAGAAAGAACTGTAAGACAAATTAAGGGACTTTATTTTGAAATATAATAGTTGTGACTTCTCTAATGTTATTAGTATTAACATAAGATACCATATAGTTTCCTTTTACCAGCTCTCAACACCAGCAGTAAAATTGAGAAGATATTGTATTGATTATTTATTACACAATCAACATGTTGATGTTAGTAACAGTTTACTGTTTTACATTTTAGGGTCTATTTAATAAGCCTGAGCTCACTAGTTTTGAGGGTTTTTATACACTTAAAGAACAAGCTATAGCGGCTACTGACCGTTTGATTGAGGAAGCTACTAATGAACCTAAAAGACCTATGGTTGAGATATTTGATGAGTTGTCAGACACATTATGTAAAGTAGCGGATCTTGCAGAATTTGTAAGAATTGCTCATCCCCAGTCCCATTTTGCTGCAGCAGCTGAAGATGCTTGCATTAGTGTCAGCGGAGTTGTAGAAAAGTGAGTAAATTAAACAATTATTAGCTCTCAAAACAAATAAGAATTTGGTTTTTTATTTCTGAATAAAAATTAAAAAAATATATATATATTAAATAATAATAATAATTAAATAATAAAAATAATTAAATGCAACCTCACTTAATTACTATTCAGTTTTATATAGTATGGAAAACCTTTGGTTTGAAAATTATGAGCATTAAGCATCAATTAATGTACAAAGACATCTAAGGCGCTATGGTATCAAGATCAGGGTTCATATTTATCAAGATTATTATTTTTTTGAATAATTTATAACACACCATTTTGTGACCTATATATATATATGTTTCTCAAGAAAACTATTGTGATAAATATCACAACAAACCCTGATTGTGATTTTTATGGCATTCTGATATATGTCTAAATATCTTCACGCCTAATTACTCAGATTAGTGCCATTATCTTCAAAATTGGGAATCACATTAGATCATTGCCGAAATAGATGTTTAATTGAAAAACAAGTAATTTATGAGAAAAAAGTATTCCTGCTACTATTACCAGTATAATATAAAAACAAAAAGTAAACAAATAGGATAATATCCAATTTTTATATATCACTAATAAATATCAGATCTTTGAATACTGTTTTTGTAACATATATTTATTAAATGGATAACAAAAATCATATTTTTTTGATTAGGTTAAATACACACAAGGGTCTTTATGAGGCATTACGTGATTCTGTAAAACGTGGAACATCAGGTGATCAGCACTTGGCAGAACTCTTCCTATTTGACTTTGAACAGAGTGGAATACAACTAGAAGAAGGACCAAGGAAGAGAGTGGTTGCTCTGAATGACTTGATCTTGCAAACTGGTCAACGATTCATGGCTGGAGCAGCCAAACCAAGAAAAGTGCCAAGGAATGCAGTTCCTGCAAATATTAGACAATTGTGAGTGTGAATATCAGGGGCTATGTCACACAGTGTGTTTGGAACCCCAATTTGGCTCATCATGTCTTTTTTTAGATTTTTCAATAGTTTATATCATTATTATATTTGATAAATTTCACATTCACTTAAAAAAAATGCACTTTGGCACCCTGAAATGCCAAGTGGACTTTTTAAGCATTTTTCATTTAGAATAATTTATATCATTTTAGGCAATATACTAAAACTTACCATTAGTAGATTTTTTAAAGTAAGCTATATATTTTAAATTTGAATAAGTATCTAAATTACACTTATAGTCACAATCTGACATTGTTTTGTAGCTGACAAGAAAAACAAGCGAAAGAAACTTACTAGCTCTTTATCATAAGTAATGACATTTATAATGTCATTTCCAAAATAATATGAATCACAAGTTCACAAGAATCACAATAATAAATACAACTTTCAACGTCTGTAGGGCATATGTTGTACATATAGTTAGTTGTTATAGAAAGCTATTAATTCCATGCATTGCGGTCCTTAAAATAATCATAAACTTTATAATAGCCTTTACTCATAAGTATGTTCTTTACATGAATTTTAAATTTATTTATGGGTAGGTAAATTGAATTTTGTGGAACTTTATTGAACATAGTAATGCATTTATCCAGAAATGATCCTCTGGTTTTCTGAAGTCTGAAGCTTGGAATGGCAAGTTTATTTTAATTTCTTGTGTTAAGATTATGAACACTACTTCTTTTTGTGAAGGAATCCTAATGATTTCTTGCGTACATATTATTTTCATAAATATATTGAGAGGCAACAGTCAAAATATTTATTTCTTTAAATATTTCTCTGAGAGATTCCCTAGACCATAGATTATATATAGCATGGACAGCTCTCTTTTGTAGGAAAAAATATCTTGAATGCTAGCCGCAGAACCCCACAACAATAGACCATATGTTATTACACTATGAAAATAACTAAAATATACCAAGCTTGCTGTTTCAACATTTGTCAAGAGTCTAATTTTCTTAACAGCAAATGCTGCAGAACTCAGTCTACTTGGCAAGTTATCAATATTAGGATCCTATTACAGTCGGGAATCTAGCGTAATACCAAGGAACTTTGTCGATTCTACCATCTCAACTTTTTCACTATTTACATGTGTAAGTGTACTAACATGCCTCACATTAGGTAATGCAAACTTTATGCATTTCATTTTATTTGAATTAAGCTTTAAATTATTATTATCAAACCACTGTAGAACATTGTCGAGAGCATCATTTACATTGTCAAAACAATGATTACCCCTCTTACCTTTAAACACTAAAGAGGTGGCATCAGCAAATAACACTGTCTTGCACAAATTCTTCGTAAAGTGAGGTAGATCATTAATGTAAATTAGAAAAAGCAATGGTCCTAATACCGATCTCTGAGGAACGCCCATAGTAATGGATGCCCCTGCAGATTTCGCTTTTTTTTATTATTACTACGTTTTGAATTCTAGCAGAAAGATATGATTTTATTAGATTAAGTGAATATTTCGTCACACCAAAATGCTCTAATTTCCCCAACAATGTTTCATGACTAACTTTTCTACCGTGGGTAGTAATTTGGGCAAAATCCTCAAAAAATTCATGTAAACACTATAAACATAATGTAACATTATCTCATTTTGACCCATGTACTGAAAGGGAAATATTGAAAATAATTGATAGCCTAGATAGTAGCTCAAGTGCCGGAATGGATGGCGTCAGTACGAAAGCGATAATATGTTTGAAAGGAAATGTAGCTGGCAACCTAGCAAACTGTATAAATAAATGTTTACTAGAGGGCGAAACACCAGACTCCTTAAAAATAGCCAGTTAGTCCTGTCCGCAAATCTGGACTTAAAAATGACTAACAATTACATGCCATTTCAGTGTTATCGGTTTTTTCTAAAATTTTTGAACGCATCCTCTATAATAGACTATTTTCATATCTCAACCAAAAAGGTTTTCTCTCAGCCACTATAGATTTAATTACACAAATAAAAACGAGAATTGATAAAAAAACTTTTTGGGCATCTTCATTAATTTAAAGAAAGCCTTTGATACAATAGTCAGATAATAGAAAAATATTAGATACGTGTTTTTTTAAAAAGTGTAATAAAAACATGATGAGACAAAATCGTGCTTTCTAAAATACCGTGAGTCACCCACGGCTATCGCCACACTGACTTTCAACAACAGGATAAAATCAATTCCAAGTATATAATGTTCATTGTAGATATCAAGTTATTTAAGTGTTGTTATCCTGTTATTTGATTACCATTAGATTTTAGAGTCCTTAATGGATCTCCGCACTGACACATTTTATCCACTTATCTCTAGGAACTGCCTAGAGATAGGACACAAACATTTTGTCAAAGCATTTTGTCCCTCTTATGCAGCATATTTATATTATTCTCTATCTATATATTCATGCTATCTCTAGCAAAGAAAATATATACTACTCATTTGTGAAATCGGTTTGATATTGTAGTCTACAAATAATATTCTGTAAAGTACTTACATTGTAATAATTTGTAACAATGCAAGTGTAACATTTGTTATATAACATTTTTTATGTTAAAATAATATGATTTTAAAATACCATATACGTAAAATACATTAACTGTTTATGTTATTATATACATATATATATAACAGCTTTAGCAGCGAGGGTGACAATATAGTGGTGAGTGGTGTATACGCTGAATGTGGTGAGGCGGCGGCGCGTGAGGCCGCATACCGTCTGTACCTCGCTCCTGACGCCCAACAAGAGCGTCTGCTCTGCACCACGCTGGCCGCCAGACAGGAAATGGCTGCCATTTGCGGCTTCCCAAGCTACGCTGACAGGTTTGATACTATATATACCTACTTGTTTTTAATATTGCTTCTTTATATTACTTATCTGACCATTTTGGATATTTATTTATTTAATTAACAAAGTTTTTTAGCATTTTTTGTTATTGTTGTATAAAAAAGTGTATGGTATTGACAATAGGGTCAAATATGAGTATCATGAACACAATTACTTTAGAATTTAGTAATTATGTTAATTCCAAATATCATAGCCATAGTCGTGGACATTGACATCATGATAAGTGCTTTAATTAAATAAAACAATAAATTAATAAAAAAATATTTTTTTTATATATTTTTTACATAAGTATACCTAATTGACAATTATGTAGAAATGTTTATGGTGATTTTCAACCGAACGGTAACTAAGTTATTAAGATCTTTATGTATTGAAACAAGTGTATGTTCCAATGCTTAGTTTGCAAATAAACTTTTGACTTTTGAGTTTCTTTACAGAGCAATAAAAGCTAGCACAATGGAGACTGCGTCGAACGTACGCCAGTTCTTAGATATTCTGTCAGATAACCTTCATGATCGCGCTAAAATGGACTTTGATGCGATGCTGAAGATGAAGCAGGTGGAGACGCCGTATCAAGATCAGCTCATGTGCTGGGACACACCCTACTTCACGCACAAAGCGAAAACGCAGCTTTTGAACGTCGCCAACTCTGATTTCAGCCCGTATTTCTCGCTAGGCGGTTGCATGGAAGGATTGAATATGCTCTGTCAAGAGTTGTATGGAATAAGTTTGAATTCTGAGGAAATGTTGCCAGGTTTGTAATTTATATCTATGTAGTATTTTTTTTTTCCATAAATGCTCACAAAAATAACTTTTGAAGTTTTGTAAAATCATTATGAGTTAACATAAAATATTTTTCAATCTTGTATTTTTAAATTAAAATTCTAATGAATGAGGTATAAATTAAAAGATACAAAATATTTATAGTTAAAGTATATAACATAAAGAAATGAGATAAAATGTTTCATAACCATACAGGTGAGTCATGGTCGCCGGACGTCTATAAGCTTGCAGTGGTACAAGAGAATGAAGGTCTCCTAGGGTACATATACTGTGATCTGTATGAGCGACCTGGGAAACCACACCAGGACTGCCACTTCACCATACAGGGTGGAAAACTGCTGCCTGATGGCACTTATCAGGTACACATGAGCCCTGTGATTTATGCATGCATTTCATTTAATTATCAGGATTAAATATTAGATACATATTGTTATTATAATAATAAATCAATCTGGGATTCTTCAAGTCAAGAGTGAATCGGTTCCTTCTAGGCAAGCACGCTCCATCTTAGACCACTGCATTGCTTACCATCAGGTGATCTGTGGTCAAGAGCTTGCCTATCTAGAATAAAAAAAAGAAAAAAAATGTGTAACAAATAGGCGTTGTTTACGAGTGATCTGACAATTTCTACGATAATAAGATAATGATAGCCATTAATTTTAGTTTTTGTGCGATCTCACGTTAACGTGACTTATTTTTCGCCACCGAAACAACCCTATTTGACGTAGACGGTTGCGTCGTGCAGAATCCTGTGGTGGTGGTGATGCTGTCGCTGAGCGGCGGGCACCGGTCGGGCCCCGCGCTGCTGTCGGCGGGCGCGGTGGACAACCTGTTCCACGAGGTGGGCCACGCGCTGCACTCCATGCTGGGCCGCGCGCGCTACCAGCACGTGGCCGGCACGCGCTGCCCCACCGACCTGGCCGAGCTGCCCTCCGTGCTCATGGAGTACTTCGCCTCGTGCCCGCAGGTATAAGTACTGGCTGGTTTACGCGTCATTAAAAAAACTAATTTTAAAAAATACATGAAAAATAGATATTTTATTAATACGATACTAGTGCGTTATAACCAGAGGTCGAAATTAAGTAGAGTTATTTGTGTACTTGCATCGAAATTTTGATATTAATGTGGACCTTCCCGGGATTTTTAATGGACAATCTTGGACATCTTTGGACATCCGATGTCATTGATGTAAGTTTGGCAACGTCGTGCGTGCAGTAGTTTAAATTGTGTAAAAGTAAATAACTTTTTATTTAAAAAATCACGGGATTTTTTCTGCTCTTTAAAATAATCTCGGGATTTGAGGCATATCCACTTTATTCTTTCGCTGTATGAAATCAGTGTAAGTACATGAATAACTCTACCTAATTCCGACCTCTGGTTATAACCAATACGCACGTATATCGTACGACGTTTTTAACACATTTGCGAGGAAACAGAAAAAAAAACGTTAAATAAACTCAATCTGTGAATGTACACTGTTGCTTTCCCGCCATTTTAACAACGCGCTAACGCTGCCTACTGACTGGCGCCGCGCGGCGATTAGTTCGAAATTTGAATAGCAAAAGCGCGCGAAATGGCAAATAATACTGTTATGGAATTTGTATGGACTATAACTAATCTATTTGCATTGGTAACACACGAGTTTTTTATGACCCGCTTTACATAATTAAAACCGGTGGAATTACATCAGCTTTACGAGCAAAGGTGTTAAAAAATAACTTAAATGAAAACAAAAGAAAGAAACAAGCCTAGTAGTTTAGAAGTCTGTTAAGTGATACCAAATAACTACACAATTGAAATAGTTTTATAATCGATACACAAATAAAACAAATCATAAATTCTAATGCAGAACAGAACGATTTATAGTCGGGGCCCCTTGGGAAGATTTGATTGGTAAAATTATTCTATTCAACGACACCCTACTTGACATAGAGCATCAATTTTTTTTCATTTAGACAATATGGCGTCTGATTGTCGCTGTGGTGAATTTTGATTACTGTCATGTCTTTAGTGACACCCGCAAGGTTAAGACGAATCGGTTGACGTGAGAATCATCAAAATCGGCGATTTTAATTAGAGCCAAATGCGTAAACATTTGGTCTCTAGAACGCCACATAGAAACAAACATACATAGACTGATAAACACATTACCCTCCTTTGCGTCGCGCAGTGGGGTAGTAAATAGATTTTTAACTCAATTTTAAAAATTAAGTTACTCCTTAGATCTAGACTAGAATTAAATATTAACTTGCTACTTATTACTTATTTGTTTGTTTACATACACTTGATCACATATAATTAAATTAAAATTCTACTTACTGCTTTGTGTCTATCCAATATTACTCCTAAAATTGACTCAATTTACGAAACAACTCAACCCATAACATTAATATTAAAGCAAATGACAAACTATTTTATTTTAAGTATTAATGAATTGTAAACGGAGTTCGAAATCACGTGCGGTAGGAAGTTATGTGTGTACATTATAAAAGGTATAACATCGAAATGCAACCATCTATATTGTAAATTCTTACCAAATTCAAGATAATAACCCGTTCGAATGACCTTCATGTTTACTATTGAACGTAGTCGCGTTCGATCGACATTGCAATTATGGCGTTTCGTAGTCTTGATTTGGTACACTAGCGCCAATTGGCTTAATATTACGTGGTTATTGAATGAACTAATTGATAATGAGTAAGTATTTAGTCTATGTTTCATGAGTACAAGCTAAGATTTGATGAAAATTGAGATCGTCATTGGATTGTATTGACATTGAGATTGCGTTCAAAGGTAAGCCTACTGGATTACTTAACGCTATAATATTTATCTGCAGGTGGTCAGTCGGTTCGCGCGACACTTCCAAACGCGTGAACCAATGCCTGAAAAAATGCTGCATCGACTCTGCGCTTCTAAATACCTCTTTGGAGCTAGCGAAATGCAGCTACAGGTTTGTTTATTTGAAAACCATGTTGATTACTTAAAGATGGACTTGAAAAATTATGTGAATATCTATGTATAATATGTAGCTAGCTTTAAATGAAAGCGTACTGAACAACGTACAGGGCACTGATCTACGTATTTGAAAATTTACATGAGATCTATTAATACTGTGAGTGAAACTAAGAAGGGGTTTTTTTTTAATTTCACCCTTAAAGGTTTTAAAAGTTTGCAATTAACTCCATCTGTTTTTTACGAGCTGTTTTTGCGTTACAATTTCGAAATCTAGTATTTAGATTTACGAGATATAATAAAATTATTTTAATTAAAAAGACATTTAACAAATATTTCGGAAAAATAAACATGTTTTATTGCTTTAAACTTAAATAAAAAGATAAACTTTTTATATACCCGCGAAAACGGTGTCCGTCATATTTATGACGTCATTTTGTACTCAAAACAGATGCATGGAGTAGAAGATTAAAAGATGTTAGTAAAACAAGAACAGTGCCATCTAACGATCGATTATAAAATAAGAAAATATAAATAAGCTAAGAACAGCGCCATCTAGGCATTTTGTTTATAATTATTAAGCATATCTTTAAGACTAATCTGACAGCCGTCACCATAATGACATCACACTATGGCGGGTCGTGTTTCAAGTCACATGACGCACAGACAATAAATCACGAGTTTTAATTTTAAGATAATCGTGCGACTTTAAGACTCATAATCAGAATCTCTCGGTCAGTTGCACAAACGTTCATTAAAGTTTAATGACGACTTTATGCTCAAATAATGTTCTAAATTTGAATGGATGTTTGTGCAACTGGCTTTTATGTTTATTATGACGTTAATTTAAGTTTTTGTGCAATTCCGCGACTTATTTTAAATAACGAAACTACGTTATTTTAGATAACGTTCTATATGAGAATATTTTATAATTGATAACCTCAGTAGTAGAGTAGCTCGCACGCCTGTTTCGAGATATCGCCATCTATTATGGCTTGGATTTGAGTCCATGTCTAGATAATGTGGAAAATAATCATTATATTTTATCAATTTTGCATTCAAAATTCTATCCTTTTTTTTAATGAAAAATGCCTCAATATCCAAATTTTCATTAAAAAGATAGTCCATAATACAGAGGCTAACTCATTAATTCGTTAGTCTGCAGATAGGATAATATGTAGGTTGAATATGATATTGAGTTGGTTAGTTGAATATTTTCTAAATTTATGGTTTCTTCTGTTGATGTAATGTTAACATGTAAACTGTTCAGGTGTTCTACTCTGCCCTGGATCAACAGTACCACGGCCCACAGGCCCCCGCCTCCACTACAGAACTGCTACGTAATGTCCAACATCAGTACTACGGCCTTCCGTACGTAGAGAATACGGTATGCATACTATTCATAACATAATAGGGTACATATGTCTGGCAGACTTTGGGGTCCTTCAAAAGATATCGGCTTAATCAGACAAAAACAGTGCCATCTAGCGATCAGCTACTAAATATTATATAAATAAGAACGGCGCTTACTAGGGCTCTGCTAGAAAATAAATATATAGTGGCTGTAGACGATCTGACAGATGCAGAATGTTTTTGATAATATGACGTTACACAATAACAGTTCATGTTTATTGGTCACAGATGGAAAAACTCCACTTAGATGGTTTTATTACAATATCTATTAATTCTTGGTGATTTTCGTAATTATGAGGATATTTTTTTTTCGGTTAATTCTCATGATAATTATACGATAAATATCTGATGATTATCGGTATTTACGCAGCAGCAATTTTTAAAATACAGAAGGGCATTTATGATAGTTTAAACTTATTTTTGTTCCTTTGAATTATAAAAATTATACAATCAAAATGAACAAAATAATAAATACTATGAAATCACATTGAACAAAAAATTAAATGAAAATATAAATAAATAAATAATATTTTAATAAAAAGGAATTATGATTCGTTCACATTTCATTCATTACTTTTTAGTTATCCTTATAGTTAGATAATTATAACAATTGATTTAAAACTGTAGAACTTTTTCATGGTTAGAAAAACTCTAAATGAAGTTTGTGTGTTTGAAATACTTGAAATATTTTTTAAGTAATATTCTAACTTTAACGGGACTATACGTATTTTCATTAGAATGATAAATATGACAACATTACTAATTAACTTTCTTATTCGTTAGGCCTCGAACGAATGAGTAACATGTCACAGAAAGGAATAATGAAATATTTTACAGAGCAATGTTACAATACTGAAACGAAAGCTTGCAACATTAAAAGAAAAAAAAAGTGAATCTAACGATCAGTTTAGTCCAGTGATTCCCTAAGTGGTTCAGGTGGACCCCCAGGGGTCCACGAGGGATTCAACGGGGGTCTACGTTGGCGTGAAATTTAGGACGAATTTTGGGAATATGGTAAAAATGTAGCAGCAAGGGGTTGCACCGAAACCAGTAAATTTCTTAAAATGGTCTACGAGAATAAAATTGTTGGGGAACCTCTGGTTTAGTCCTAATTAAAAATCAGGCTATAGTATAGACCACCGAACACTCCATTACGTTGGTTGTGAGAGTTGCTCCGGCTGCACAGGCGTGGCAGCATCGTTTCAGCCACCTGATCGGTTACGGGGCGAAGTACTACTCGTACCTGATATCGCGCGCCACGGCCTGGAGCGTGTGGCGGCGGCGGTTCGAAGGCGATCCACTGAGCCGCGCCGCCGGCGACCGGCTGAGGCACGCGGTGCTGAGGCATGGCGGCGCTACACATCCACAGGTACGGTAACGAGTCCCGTCAATCATGCAAAGTCAAAGTCAAAATAATCTTTATTCAAATAGACTTCTTAAAAGTACTTTTGAATCGTCCAACATTTTTTTCCCTACCACTCGTTCAGGACATCTTTTGGCTGATAAGAAGAACGAGCAAGAAACTCACCAGCTCTAATAAGAGTAATGACATTTACAAAAACCATGTCATTACCAGATCAATACATTATAAACAGAGATTGAAAAAAAAAACTATGGTCTTGTAATGATAACATAATCATTTAATAATAATGGAAACAAGATAATGAGTTTAGAAGTAACCTTGTCTAAGTAACACGCGTGACGTCATGTGAAAATAGAAAGGATAGATAGCACAAAAAGCAAGAGACAAATTACTGAAATACTTATGGATAATCCCAAGAATATTTTTATGATAATTTAATAACTTTTAGTTTGTTCGTTTATTGCAAGAATTTTCGAAAAAGGCCAATTTATATGTAAATACTTAGGTCACATACCTATTCGAGCCATAAATTCTGTTACTGGCTATTTACATACATTTAAAAAAAACATTAATTTGAGTTTTGAACGTTAGCTTCTACAATAAAAAATAGACTTCCCCGCCATGATTGTGTTTTTTGTTTAGAAATTATTTGTTTTGAAAATGGAGTGGGACACTAAAGAGAATAGGATTGCAGTAATTGCACTGTTGAAAGTAGGTAAGGAGCCAGCCGACATTTTCGATAAATTGAAAAAGCTCGGGATTTGTCGAATGGTTGTGTATCGTACCATCCAAAGGTACACTGAAACCATATCTGTTGATGACCGTTAGAGATCCGGCCGACCGCGAGGCCATCATCCAGCATACGTCATGGTTTGGTGGGGTGTCTCCTACCAAAAGGTTACAAAACTCCATTTTTGCGAAAAAGAAGTGAAAACTTCAGCCAAAATGTATCGAGATACCGTGTTAGAAACGGTAATATAAACCTCTCAACAACACCTTATTTAAAAACGGACATTCCAACAGGATTCAGTCTCGGGTCATAAGGCGCGCACTACCCAAAATTTGGTTTCAGCAAAATGTTCTATAGTATGACCGTTTAAATGAGTCCTCGCCCGCGCGGTACAGGGGCGCGGGGTATGACGACAAAGGGGACCGAGAGAGGTGCGGGCGGCAGGCGCGCGCGCATGAGACGAAATGCACACTAGACAGATCCTAAGATATGTGACGTCATAGTGGATAACGGTGAACAAATTGTGATTTTTTTATTTGAAAATCAATTGATGATTACATAAAATTTAAAAGAAAGAAAATGTAACTTGTGTAGGTAACTAAATAAAATATTTAGTAATAAACTTTTGTACTATTTATTAAATACAAGAATTATCAAAATTATAAATCAATCACTTATGTCCATATCAATATCAGTGGAACTTGATTCTTCACTTTCAAAGCTGCCGTCATCAGAATCATCAGAGTCGTCCTGAGTGTTAATAATAAAATCAACAGCATCATCCCGAAGTCCGTCATGTTTACAGTACTCGTCCTCGATTTTAATTTAACCACGTAATTAAAATCGAGGACGAGTACTGTAAACACAATGCTCCCACTTCTCTATGGAATATTCAGCAAATAATCCCTCTAATGTAATTTTTTTTGGTCCAAAAAATAATGCGAGTCATCTTGAGAATGTAATCTCATGTATATCTCTCACAAAGCCTCCGCAAAAATCAGCACATGTGTTCGCTACTCACGTAACGATCGAAATGAGGTAAAACAAAAATGCGCCCGCCGCCCGCACCTCTCTCGGTCCCCTTTGTCGTCATACCCCGCGCCCCTGTACCGCGCGGGCGAGGACTCATTTAAACGGTCATACTATAATTGGCTAGATGCATCCGTGCTAGCGCAATAGCAATAGGTTTACGCACGAGTGAAACAGATATGTAGCGGTCATTCATTGTACGAAATTAGAGCATACGATAAGGTTCCTTATGGGTCAATCTAAAACACTTTTGAAAGCTGTTAGTACCTGTGCATGTCAAAGTCAAAATAATCTTTATTCAAACAGACTTCTTAAAAGTACTTTTGAATCGGCCAAATATTTTTTCCTTCCACTCGTTCAGGACGTCTTTTAGCTGATAAGAAGAACGAGCATGAAACTCACCAGCTCAAATAGGAGTAATGACATTCACAAAAACCGACAACCGACATTACCAGATTAATACATTATAAATAGAGAGAAAAAAAAACTATGGGTTTATAACGATAACATAATAATTTAAAAATAATGGAAACAAGATAATTTTTGAGTTCAGAAGAATTCACCTACCCAGTTGCTG